ATTAGTCACATTACAGCACTTCTCTGTGCAGTCTGCAGCGGTACAGAAATAGTGGTGGACGGGTGTGAGCTGCCCTACAGATGTTGTAAAATACTCAAGAGGTTGCAAAAGTCAATAAAATGAAAATTTTACATGTACTGTAGGAGCTTTGCTGGAAATGTGGAGGGTGTTCCCTGCGATTGTAATGCTTCTGTGAATTAATGTAAAATCAATACTTTTAAAATAGGTTGTCCTCTTTGTGACCACTAGTGAAATCTATTACATACCTGCTAAATGTTTTCAGTTTTTTCAGCTAATCTTGCTAGTGAGGTTTTTTTTTCTCTCCATACAAGCGCCCTGTTTCCCAAAAGCATCTTAGGGTTATAACCATATTTGTTCAGCTAATGTTTCCATTGGCATGTTTCCATCCCAAGATGAGTGTTGTGTGTTGCATGCTGAGATACTTTGGAAAGCAGATCCGGGTCGAGCGCCAGTGGCTCATTTGATGGTATGAAGACAGGCATTTGGTTACACTCAGACCCAGTGGTATTGCTCCTGCAGAGAATCTCAACATCTGGATCAGCTCCCTTTCTGACACTTGATGTCAAATACAGCACACTCAAGAATCAGATAATGTAAGCATGAACAAAGAGCACAAAAAAACCCAAACACCTCAACATTCAAATGGGATGGAGGCAGAATGAAAGCAATTGGAATGTAAAAGAAAAAAGGGCCTTCAGCTGCAGAATGTAAAATAGAGCAAGTTTTGACAATAGTAGAGGAGGAATATTATAAAGGCAGCCTTCCTTGCTTCCCTGGGAGAGTTTCATGGAGTGCTTTCTCACTGTGATAATGAAATGACCTGGCCTGCACTGTTCCACTCTCTCTCTCTCTCTCTCTCAAAAACACATCTGCTAGACGAGGGTGAAAATGAGAAAATCCTACCTCCTCTCCCGAGTTTCGTAAAGCATACTTTCAATATTCTTTTTTACAGACAATAATGGGATATGAGTGACAGTGTATTCTCGTGTCCTTGTGAGTGCTGTGTATCACTGTGGCTGTGTGCGCTTGTATGCGTTTGTGTGTTGCTCTGGATGCGGGCACTTGCAACGTTGAGCAACTTGTAATAAACTGTATTTGAAGCACATTTGACATAACAAGGCACTATACAGAAATTCAGTGGATAGAAATCCCATAGAGTTGTCATCGTAACATTGTTCTTGTAACTTTGTTTTTGTGGTTTGCACACAGTGGAATCAATACAGTAAGCAGCACATCTCAGATCAAGGACTTCAATTTCGTCCCATTTCAAGGTAGAATCCAATAAAGCAAACTATAGTCCCACACTGTTTTGAGCTAATCTTGTGGGCCTCACTAGACATTCAGGCCGTACTAGACTGATTCAGAAGAATGACTCACCAGTTTGGTACAGCACAGACTGCATGCAGACCATGAATTCCCTCAGCTTCTAGTTAGCAGGGAATCTATGGCAGCACTGAGGCAGAGCGCTGTCATTGAGTTACATAATCAACAGAGGAGTGTAGCAAAAATGTGTGTGTGTGTGTGTGTGTGTGTGTGTGTGCACACTCGTGCATTTGTGTAGCTGCAGTTCTTTTTGAGCTGTCAATCATGTGGTACACCAAGGCCACTCTAACACAAGGCTGCTGAGGTGGACTTTCAGCAACAATGGAGCTTAGCTTGCCTGTATGTGTGGGTTTGTGGGTGTGTGTGTGTGTGTGTGTGTGTGTGTGTGTGTGTGTGTGTGTGTGTGTGTGTGTGTGTGTGTGTCTGCGTGCGTGTGTACATGTGTGCGTGTGTGAGTCCATGTGTGCACTCGCTACTGTTTTTAAAGGCTTGTGTGTGGATGAATAGGCGGTCGCATTTACAAGGCTGAGAGGAAAAAGCATGCTACATAGGATTTATTAGGTGTGCATGCTGAGAGATGAGCCAATTTACTGCACATGTTGACTCACAAGGATACATTTACATATCTATTTTGTGTGTTTGTGTGTGTGTGTGTGTGTGTGTGTGTGTGTGTGTGTGTGTGTGTGTGTGTGTGTGTGTGTGTGTGTGTGTGTGTGTGTGTGTGTGTCTGCGTGCGCTTATTTGTATCCCTTGGTATGTTTCCATGCATGCTTGGATGCATAGGCCTATTTGTGATTTTGCATGTTTGTGTATGAGCCAAGCTCGTGTGCATAAGAGTGCGTGTTTAGTCATGTCAGCTTACCAACTTGTGCTTGTTTGTGTGTGCCCATGTGTTTATATATGTATGTACGTCTGCATCTCTGTGGCTTTTTGTGTAAATGTAGATGGGATTTTATTTTCATACTGGCATTAGGCTAAAGAGAGCTTGTTGTATTGTCTCTATATTGTATTGCTTCTGCTGCTCAATGCTGCCATCTGGCTTTGGCTAACTCCACCACAGACATCCTCAGGGAGCTATCCGTGCTAGTCAGCGTCTGGTTTTAACAACTGTTTTGGGATCGGTTGTCCAGTGGGCTGGTGCTAACTCACCCTATTATGAGCAGGATGATAAAACTGACCTTGAAGCAGTTTATGGGGCTGGGATAATGGAAAACACTGATAGAAAGCCCATGAAACTGCACTTAGCTTTCAGTGACAAAAGAAAATAATGGTTTAACCACTTAACATTATTTTGATCTGTATCTAAAAAATTTTGAGCGGACATTTTGAATGTAGTTGTTCAACTTAACATTGATGGATTAATTCTTGATATTAGGAAGGAACATTAGAACAAAATCAAGAACTGCAGTTTTAAATAAAAAAAAAAGTTGCCTCATAACTTAAAACAAATTATAAGAGACAGTATGAAAGTTACTGGGGGAGGGGAGGGTAGAAAAGGGGGATGGTATTGTGATTTTTATTTTTGCTGACATGGGGATAGTCTTTTAGTCTTTTATGTTTTCCTTATATGATCTTTATAATCTATTTCAGCCTTGCCTTGTAAGATTTGCTATGTAAAAAATTGTTCCATCAAAAAGATGATGAGTGCCATGGATCACAGATGGATGTTTTGTCATATGCAGAGTACATTTGTCAGTACTGTTATATCACTTTTGAGATTTTAGGGGTGAGGGTCGTGGCAGTTTTTTTTTTTTTTTAGTTTAAAAAAGTAAAACATAAAGTTAATCATTCTTTCACACTCAAATAATTTTTGTACAGTCCCTAAATTCTCAGCGCATAGAAAAATTAAAAGCAGGAAAATTAAACCAAACCTCGGAGGGTCAGTGCCATCGCATATCGTGCAGGTTAAGACCGGTGCTTGCATATAAAACCAGTGGAGGTGGAACACAATTAGGTCAGATTGAGGCCAGACCATTTGTATGGGTCACGGTAAAAGCACTCATATGTATGCAGGCTTATAGCCCCCCTGGGAGCACTGGGTTGACCTTGTCCTATACTCTGATCTATGTCCTCATCTCCCCCTATGTCCTCTTTTCCTCATTCCTCTGCCGTGTCTCTCCTCTTTCCTCCCCCCACTTTCTTTTTTATTATCACATTTCTCTGCCCTCAAACACCCCCCTTTTTTTTACTGTTTTCAATTAGTTTCTCTTCTTTCTCACCCTATTCGGTTTCACCATTCTTATGATCACTCTCTTTCCTATCCAACCCTTTTTTTGATTCACGTCATTCTCTCTCTCTCTCTCTCTCTCTCTCTCTCTCTCTCTCTCTCTTTCTCACTTTCTTTTTTTTACTCATTTTAAACTCTCTTTTTTCCATTCCCCATTTTCTTTATCCCCCTCTCATCCTTTTTCCATATCAACAGCCGGTCTGATAAATAATGCATCACAGCACATTAAAAACATTAGTAGGGTTCTCTTGACTGTCCAAAAGAGGGAGGAGACGAGGGAGAGGAAGGAATGGGTAACTCCATTTTAAATAAGTGTTATGGAGAACAATGTGATTTAATATCAGCAGCAGAAACGCTCCAGAAAAGGGCGAAGGTCCAAGCATTAATTGTGTTTGAGTCGTGACATTGTGCCCTCGCACTCAAAGGTTTTTGCCTTTGGCGAATCATCTGAAAGCTCCAAGATTCATTAAGATGATGACTGTATCAGCAAACTCAAAAGAAAAGATTTAATGACATTTAGCAAAACACTGATGCTGCATCACACAGAACCTTGACCTTTCCCTCCTCCCCTTTCACCCTCAGCTTTCTCCTCCCCTCTCCTCCCCGCCGCACCCCTCCCCATTCCTCCTGGCAGCGTGGCGATTGGCATTATTAAAAATTGATTGGCGGCGAACGTTTAGCAGGGTGGCGAGGTGGAGAGGGAAGGTTTGACAGGCAGGAGTGAAATGAAAGGAGGGCCTCAGCGGACACACTGTGGAAAGGTCTCACTGGGGGACAGACGGTGTGTGTGTGTGTATGTGTGTGTGTGTGTGTGTGTGTGTACACTTGTGTGTACAACCTTGTGTGTGAGGCTAAGAGAAGCCTGCACAAGAACATTTTGTAGTGCGGCTTAGGAGTTTGAAAACTCAAAGAAGATACCGTGTTTGTACTGTGTGTATGTGTGTGTGCATGCGTGTTGTGTGAGCGTATAGATCCACAATAATATATCTCGTCCACATAGACCACCACATCATGAATCATGATAGCATCCAAAAGCATCCACAGAGATGATCCACAGTCACAGTAGTTCTGCTGACCTAGAGTTACCTCTCCGCCATCCCTCTATCTGTCGCTCCCTTCATCCCTCTGCTTATCCCCCTTTCCAACCCTTCTCTCTCCTTTCATCTCAGATCAAATAATATTTCCAACCCATATTCCCAACCAGCTATTCCCCCAATGGCTATAAGTGCTACAGCTTTGGAGATTTTCAATACACTTTACCTGCAATTTGGCTGAGTGATTCTAAAAAAGTTATTTTAGAGGGGGGGGTAAAAGCATGTGCCATTACATGAGTACATGATGCTAACCGGTTTCTTTATCTCTTGTTTTCTTCTTTTTCTTTCTTTTCTTTCTATTATTTGTCCTCCTTCTCTTTCTATCTCTGTCACAGATGAACAGACCGATCCAGGTGAAGCCAGCAGACAGTGAGAGTCGAGGAGGTACTGGACGCCCTTCCTTCCTTCTTTTCCTTCCCCATTCTCTTCTACTCTCCTTCCTTTGTTCCAGCCTTACAAACATGCTGCCTGCACATATCAGCCTCACCATTATCTGTCCCATTAGACGATGCCCTGTACCTCAACACAGGCTGACAGCGCGGCCTGGCCGGACCCTGCAGTATCCAGAACACGTTATGTAAACAGCGCACTTGCTGCCCGGCGCGGCTTCTAGCTCTTTTCTTGGAGCTTCATCATATGCACTGATGCATATGCATATGCATACGATGAGACGCGTGTCTTGTCATGCTCTAGGGGAGAACAGGTCACTACTTTTTGTCAAACACCTTTAATAACTGCGACAAAGCAAATCCTATTTGATTAATGTCACAAGTTCGTATCAGCCAAATGAATTGAAATGACAGGTCTGTGTGAATGAAAGCGGATGTCTGCTGTGGTATTTTGTGTGCATCGTGCTGTATTGACAGGTAAGACAGCGTAAAGCTGATTTTCTATGTCTAGACATGTAGTGACCTGCTCCTGACATCAATCAATGGACTGTACAAGAGAAGATTGATGTAGTTTGAGCGTTTTTGGCTGGAGTCTTTCAAACTTTGCAGTTGTTAATATAATTGGCACCAGAGCGATTCTTCAGCCACACGAAAGAAGGAAAGAGAGAGAGAGGGGGGGGTAAAAAAAGAAGAAGTAGAGCATGCAAGGAGTTGAAGGTTGATAAGCGGGGAGATGCGTAAGGCCTGAGAGAGAGGTGTTAGTCTGTAAAGAAAAAAAAAACTTTAAGGAAAAGGAAGGGAGATTGTGGCACATCCTCTTCTATTTAGTTTGGTGGTGCGGTGCTGTGAGTGTGATTGATGGAGCGGGAGGGAACAGAAGCGAGCACCGAGCGTGAGGAAGCAAAGTGAGGGCAATGCAGGACGTCCGCGCCTCTGTCTGTTATTTGGGTCTATCTCTCTCTGCATGTATGTCTGCAGCACACTTCCATCCCTCTCATCTACTCTCCACAGTTTCCATTTTTTTCCAAGATTGTTTCTGTGTCTGTTTCTTTGTCCTTCTCTATCCTTTAGATTTTTTTCTCAAGCATTAAAGCAAAGCTGGACATTGTAGCACCATAGCGTTACATTTCTGATTGCAGGAGTAGAAGAAGAACTCAGATCTTTTACATTTGTACCAGAACAACACTGTTAAAGTGTGCCATCACAAGTATTAGACCTACATTCAAAATCCTACTAGTAAAATGTATTAGTAAAACGTACTTAAAGTATTGAAAGTAAAAGTTCCAGTTCTTCAGAAAAAAATATCCTGTCACTAACTTATTATTGCATTATACATTATTAAATTATTACTACCCACACATCAATGTAAGAAGCATTTTACTGTTGTGGTGGAGTTGAAGCTACTTTTAAATATTCCACATAAAGTTAGTTAGTGTGGTCCAGTGGCTCCTAAACTAAGGGTTGGGCCCCCAGAAAGATGATGATTAATTAGGGAAGGAAAGAAGAAGAAACAAAGTTATATTTGCTTTTCATGGGCTGTTCTTTCATTTCTCTCTCTTTTGTGAAATAATTTATAATTCAACATCTTTGGGCCTTGAACAGCCATCTGAGAGGTTTAATGGGAAAATCATTCTTGGGTGGAACAGCTAAAAACTCATAGACATCTGAAACATAGCGGCAACGGGCCCCAGCTAGACACTGCATTTCTGTAAGAGACCACAAACCAAAAGTATTGAGAGCCATTGATTTTATCTTTAGAAACAGATAGTAGATTTTGATGGTTTTTTTTATACAAAATCTTCATCTGAAAATTTACTAAATATATCTCTCTAATATACTGCATAAATAGTATAAAATGGAAATACTCAAGTAAAGTACAAGTACCCCAGAATTAACTACTGCCTACTAAATGTTACAGTGGAGGGAAATCAGGGAGAGTCATTGTCATATGCTGTCTGTGCGTGAGAGAGAGCTTTACATTGTTGTTGTAGACTCTGGTGTATATTGATTTTCTCTCTAGATGAATATGAGTGTGTGTGTGTGTGTGTGTGTGTGTGTGTGTGTGTGTGTGTGTGTGTGTGTGTGTGTGCATGCGTGTGTGTGTGCGTGTGCGTGTGCATGTGCGTGCATGTGTGTGTGTTAACAGTCCTTACCCAAAGAAAGATGTAATGTTTATTAGTGTCTTCCCTGGGGAACTGTAGACTTTGGCCACCAATGAGATGTGTACCATGACTGTGTATGTGTGTGAGAAAATAGGAGTCTAACATTTCAAGATTTGTGTGTGCGTGTGTGACCATATGTGTGTGTCCTCCACCCCTGATGTGCGCTCCGCTCTTGTAAACCCCCCCGCCCCCCTCCAGTGCAAGGCCAGAGCGCAGATTAGTCTTGTTGACTCGGCAAGGACACCCTGTCAGGCACAGGCAGCGGGGAACGGACCCTAAGCATGCATGCATGCATGCACACATGGGCATACACTCATTTACCCACACCTATACACGCGTTAATTTGCAGAGCACATTCAAATGCAATTGCACTGAGGCTCATTAATTTCCCAACATATACATCAGTTTCCACAAAGCTCAGATTCTGTGTAACGTAAAAACAGACGCTGACACATCTGCTGCTGTTGTGAACTAACACACTTTCACCGTCTGCCTCACAGCTCCCCTCAAACATTCATTCAGTGACTCAGTCATGTTGTCTGTCATGTGCTGACACTAATGAACTCATGCTTGACCTCAGTCTGCCTATATTTTATTTAAGCCCTTACATATAGAATTTGTATCTGATTATATCATCCACCATTTCTTTCTGTAGTGGTGGAATGTAACTAAGTACATTTACTCAAGTACAAATTTGAGGTACTTGTACTTTACTTGAGTATTTCCATTTTATGTATTATGTATGTATCATTTATTATTCTTATTCTCCACTACAAAGGCAAATATTGTATTCCACTACGTGAGTCTGACATCTTTACTTACTATTTACTTCACAAATTACAAGTTTTCATACCCTTCCTGTCCACTAAAAACCATGTATCTCCCAATGTGTTGATGTTGAAACTGAAGGTTTATGGGTCTCCTTCTTAAGCTAAATAAACTATTTTAAAACCTCTTGGATTAGTTGGAAGATACAGCAAAGCAATGCTACAAACATATAATGATCTTATAGATTATGATGCATTGCTGTAAATTAAACTACCCAACAACCATAAACATCTAGAGGAGTAACTTGCAATTCACACATTAATGCAGTAGTGATATTAATCCAAAAACATCATATATAATAATGGGCCATTTTTCTGCCCAATGAGTCCTTTTACTTTTGATACTTTAAGTGCTTTTTTGCTGATAAAACTCACAATTTTGCTGAAGTAAGATTCTGAATGCAGGGCTTTTTGGTTATTCATACTTTTACTTAAGTAAAGGATCTGCGTGCCTCTTCCACTACTGTCTTTTTGACGGCATAAAACTTAGTTTGTAGAAAAACTGGAAAAAGAAATTTGGTTGAGGTCATGTGCTGCTTTCAGAGAGAGAGACTTTTCACAAAATGTTCTGAAATGTCAGTTTTAAGGTGGAAGAGAACAACAGCCACTAAGTGCAAAGGGGTGTTTGCTGTGTGTCCATATATGAAGAATAGACCAATAATTATTATTAATAATAAAAAAAATGTGAGACTTGATGAACAATGAACATATATTCATATTTTATGTTTTACCTAATGTACAGAAAGTGGGCATTTTATTTTGAAAGTGGTTTGTTTGTTGGAATAACCTCTGAGTTGTTCATATTACCTCTGTTTTAATATATTTATTGTTATCTAACTTAGTTAAACCTCGTCTCCTTATCGTGCACTCGCATCCCGTCTGTGATGCACATTTAATAATAATCACAATGTGTAAATGTGTTGCTCTATTTAGACGAAGCCCCCTGGAAAGACTGTGGAACTGCACTTAAATTTTAATTACGTCTCGACCTGAGGACAGACACACCAGCACATCTGTCTTGTCTAATACCTTTGGCAGGCACAATTCCTTAGCTATAGGTAGCCATTTTAAATGACTGATGTCGTGAAACAAAATATCCGATCAGTGGGAGTCAGACCCGTGGATTGTCACACGTCGTTCCTGTCATGTCATGTCATGTCTGCTGAAAGAGTTACCAGGATATAGGACATTGTCTCTCTGTATATAATGTATTCACGTCTATGTAAACACGAAATAAGATGAAAGAAAAATGGAAGATAAGACTCAACACTATAAGAGATTCATCTTTACTATATATGATTTATCCTATAAAATCTAAAAGAAAGTGAACTTTGTTCTTCTCTTAGAGATGTGTGGATTTACAGTATTATAGTTGGGGGAGTGTGACATGTTGTGAATACCATCAGGAGGGATCATACCACCCCAGATCCCACCATTATCCACAAAAAATGCAAAAACCTATTATTGTGTAATTGTGAAATTACAGATGTGGCTGGCTACCTAACATAAATGAGCAGAAACATTAGCCTCTTTTCATTTACTGGGTCCTGTGTACAGTTTTGTTTTTGGCACGGCAATATTACAGGCAGAGAGTTGAGATGGTGCAGAGCAGGATGATAAAGATGAAGCCCTGGAATACCTGAATAACCACAGCTTTCACTCACTATAAGAGGAGAGTACCTTATCTAAAATGTGGAGCTACTCTGCAGCTGTATGCCAAAACAGGCTCAGTTTGACTATAAGAAATATTAGCTAATAACAATATTTATTTTGTCACAAAGGGATTAGGCACCTGGTTATGAACACAGATTCACTGGTCGACTACTGAATATGATGTGAGTGAGCATTGTGTCATTGCCATTAGGCAAACTTTGCCATGCTGTATCATGAGCATCTGTGACAAGAACTCCCGCTGAGGGCATAGTGCCAACTGTGCTCCCTGAGGACAGGGACTGCACTAAAGATCATTTCGGTCGCCTTAATCACAAACTAATCTTCCACTTCAACATTGTAATGGAAACATAGAAAAACAGGTGGATACATTTTTTAATAAATTACAAGCCGGATATGCAAACACTGCTCTGTAACTCAGTCTTATTTTAAGCAAATGCATCGTTTACTACACAAGGGATACAAATTATTATTTTAACTCCATTTAAAACAGATGTTGTTAAAGCGAGTACCTCTGAATATGGCATGAGCAAGCACTGCAACATTAGTGCCATCAATATTTGATGCTAAAGTTAACAGATTTCAAATGCTACATGTCCGTATTCATAGATAATAATACAAGTAATACAAATACTAGTATCTGTTGGTGATTTGTTATCAACCCTTTATTGTTACTCTATTGTTATTGTATTGCTGATATCTGTGGAGCTGATGACTTAAGAGCATAAAACCTTTGTTAAGAATACTCCTTACTTTAAAGGTGCACAATTTTTTTTTTTTTGGTTCAAATGATTATGTGCAATGTAAAAGGTGTCACAGAGAATTATCACCCAGCGTTTTAGTGTATTTCAGATGTTTGTTTTGGTTTTTCACAGCCTGCAGCTTTACTGTTTTGGTGCAGTCTCATCAAACCCTTCTCCACCCACTTCAGGCAGCTATTTTCTAAGTTCTGATAAACCTGTTACACTCTATACCTGCCTAGCAACAAACAGCAGATGGAGAAAGTTACTGACTTGTTGGCGAAAATATTGGAGCATTTACCAGCTACAGAGATATTTTTCAGGAAAGAAACGGATGCGTGATGCTTTAATGGAATTTAAAGATTTGTTTGTAGCGTGAATAAATGGGTGAATAACGCGACATCTTTCATTATGTAGCATCACAAAACTTCTCCCTGATGGTTTCTGCATGGAACTAAGGCTGAGCAAAACTCTGCTGTTTCAGTGAACATAGCGTGTCTTTTTGTAAAATATCAAAAGGCATCTTTGAGCCTCTGATCGTGACCTATTCCTCTTCCTTTTAGAAGACAGAAAGCTCTTTGTGGGCATGCTCAACAAGCAACAGTCAGAAGATGATGTGCGGCGCCTTTTCGAGTCCTTCGGCAGCATCGAGGAATGCACCATCCTCAGAGGTCCCGACGGAAACAGCAAAGGTGAGTTTATAGCTGTTTATGACTTTGAGCCAGCAGACTTTTTCACAGGCTACTGCACAGAAATGATTTGGCCTTTCAAAGTTGGTGACTTTGCAAAGTTCTCCTTAAACACTCCATGTTGAGTGATGTCAAAGCAGGCAATTTCACAATCACCAGAGGAGCACTTACATAAGAATACTGTAGATTCTGTAAATTTCAACAGTAAATGCCATCAGAAAGCTTTGCCCACAGGGATGAGAGATATAAACCACCAACTCTTTACAGATGAACCCCATTAACCTTATGAGTCAACCTACAAGGCTCTGATAAAGAGAAAAAAAAAAACCCTAAGTCAACCACCTTATTAACCATCAGCCTTCGTGTCATGCCAGAAAAATGTCCTTTCAAAATGTTGTCAGAGTGCTACACAAGTTCACTGCATGAAGTTCATCAGTGGGCTTAGCAGCCAATCAATGAGGCCCGATGATAACTAAGCCTAATGATTACAGTGGGCTTGATCATTCTGATTCCTCCGTGAAGCTCCATTAACAAGGCCTCATCAGCCAGCTTACTCGGCTAAGTGGGCTTTAGCTCAATAATTACTGGGAACTTGATCATTCAAATTCATCAACAGGGCTTGTCAATAGTAAGCGACACCAGAATGCTGTGGCATTTTAAGCCCCATCAGAGGATCCCAAAGTTGTTAATGGTGTCAGAGAGACATGTTTAGCCTGCTTATTGAGTGTCGATCAACACTGATGCAACCATGCTCGGCAAAGAGGGGCTTTGTTTACTCAGTGTTTGTTGCTGTAATGCTGCAGGGAACTTACCCTGGGTGGAAAAAAACAGGAAACTTTTTACTTTTTGCCTTGTTACTGGCAATGTTTTGCTGTGATTCTGTGTGATATACTTTCCAACAAACTTTTGTCTTTTGTCCTCACTGTCTCTTTTTTACCCTTACTCATCCCCCCCCCCCTTCTTTCTTTCTTTCTTTCTTTCTCTTTTTAGGCTGTGCATTTGTAAAATACTCCTCTCATGCTGAAGCTCAGGCAGCCATCAGTGCACTACACGGCAGCCAGACAATGCCTGTGAGTACACCATAACTGTGTGAGCGTGTAGATTTATGTGCGAGAGGTGAGTCACATAGAGAGATGAGTCACCTAGCTCTTAATTACCTTCTTAAAGTAAAGTTAAGTTATACGTTATTCATCCCAGCGAAGAAATTTGTCCTTTGCGTATGACCCTTCCTAACTATTTCAGAGCAATGGGCAACAACTGCAGTTCTGAGGCCGTCGCTTTGGCACGACATATATCGGAGAGGATGTGTGCATGTGTGTGTAAATGTAGATACAAGCAGATGTCATGTGTCTATCAGTACACACTAACATGTACTGCCTGTTGCGTGTGTGTGCGTGTATGTGTGTGGGTGGATGGATGGATGGGTGGTTGCACAGGGTGCCTCATCCAGTCTGGTGGTAAAGTTCGCCGACACGGATAAGGAGCGCACCATCCGCCGCATGCAGCAGATGGCTGGTCAGATGGGCATCTTCAACCCTATGGCCCTGCAGTTTGGAGCCTACGGAGCCTACGCTCAGGCAAGACGCCCTGCAAAGCATCTGTTTTATCTACACTTATTCGTTCAATGAACCACAGAGATTAAATGCTCAAGCCTAGCTCACTCATGAATCTGGAATAGCAAAAAAGACTCCCTCCAATTTGGAATCCTGTATCTCCCAGGGATATGACGTAAATGGCTTTATTAATATTGCTTTAGAAAAAATAACACATTTCGTAACATTCAACACCAGGTTTCTATCTAATAGTCTCCATTGCCTCTATGCTGTACCTCACTTTCCCTTTATTCCCCCTCTCCTTCCTTTTTTTCCACCTTTCTTAACTCAGCAACCTCTAAATCTCTCTCCTCCTTCCTTTCATTATTCTCCACCCTCCTTACAATCCCCTCTCCTCCACTGTGCAGGTGCAGCAGCAGGCGGCATTAATGGCATCTGTAGGCCAAGGAGGCTACCTCAGTCCAATGGCAGCCTTTGCTGCTGCCCAGATGCAACACATGGCGACCATCAATGGCCTCCCAGGAGCACCGCTGACCCCCACGTCAGGTAACACTGGTGAAAGACCAGAGGTTGATACTGGATTTTTATTTCTGTGTGCCATGAAAATGGCATCTGTTCCACTGTACACACACAATTTCATTTTTTGAAGCACAGCATACATATATGAAAGTGTTTTCCTACCTCCAGTGCAGCCATTAGTTTACATTCATGGTGTCATACAAAAATGTGATCTTTTGTTGAGCTGACACGCTCAGTTGGCTGCCAACAGCACTGCAATCACATGGCATTTTATCAGAGTATGGATGTAAAAGGAAGCTACTTTTAAAAATGATGACATTTAACCCAGTTAACTGGATGATTGGTTAACTTCTAAGGGATGTAACTTTCTCAAAAAATTAAGTTTGAGCAAATTCAAAGTAAGGAGTAATTTGTTCAAATTATTTGGAACACAACACACAGCCTAATGCTTAACTGCCGTGTAGAATCGACATTATCCCATTCAGTTACTGTTAGCGCCTCTACTGCCTCACTGAGTGCCAAGCTAATGTTAGCCTGTGTACGGCAACTGCACTTTACAAAGTCAGCAAACAGTCTCAGTTTTTCCAGCTTTGGTGTCGAATCCAATGAAACTTGACATTTGCTCTCAAAACAGTGTTATGTTTATTTGTTCAGCACAGTTCGCTAATGTTCTCCATTTTGTGTTAGCGACGAGAACAATAGCCCAGCTTACTGATGCAGAGCAATCACCCCAGTGGAGCACAAGGCAGGGCCTATTCAGCTTAAGTACAGAAAATTCTGAATTTCAGCAGATAATTTCAAATCAAATATTACATTTTTTCCTACATTTAAACAGTAGCTTTAATTTAAAAAAAAAAACAACCCAAAAACACAACACTCCTATTATCTATAAAGTGACAGAGCTATTTTACAAATGTCAACATAACGTGCATCTGCATCTGACAACAGTCCCCGAAGAAAAGCTTTTTTTACTCAGTGGGAGTGTAATATGTAAATAATAAAAAACAGTGTGTTTCTTTAAGGCCTTGCTGTAGCATTGCAGTGGAAAAATACAGTGGCAAGGAACAAAGAGCAGTGGATTTAAATGGCATATTTTAACACACATACTATACTGTAAATGTTTCTAGATGCGTTGATGGGGGGGGGCAAATGAACAAAATGCATTGTGGCATGAGATGCAATCATCTGAGACAAATACATAATAGATACCAATAGCTGGTACCACACAGTATTCACTATTCTCATACAGTATGTCTAAGATTCGTGTCTAATGGCTGTTGTGTCACAGTAAGGGCTATACAGGGACAAGAAATCAGCCCTGACATTTAGTGTCTTCACCGGACCACTGGACCGGCCCCTCTGACATTTCCAAGAGTTACTTGGTGGCCAGGCAAAGTAAAACTTCTCCATAATGTCTTAGGAAAAAAATACAGTGGAAAGCTTACTGTTCCTCTCTGTCTTTGCCCGTCTGCCCTGTGGCTGCAGGTGGCAGCACTCCTCCAGGCATCAGCGCCCCCACAGTGACCAGCATCCCCTCCCCCATTAGTGTAAATGGTTTTACTGGCATGCCGCCCCCCCAGGCAAATGGGCAGCCACCTGCAGAGGCTGTCTTCACCAACGGGATACACCATTACCCTGGTAAGTCTGATAAATTCAGGGGCACGTATGCAAACATGAAAGAATTCTCGGAAACAAGGAAAAAAAACATATTAAAAAAATACAATGCAGTATAAATTATAAACATACTGTTTGTTATTTAAAACCGTGATTTTGTGAAAATGACGCTTGAATCCCTGTAGACTCACATTGATTGTAACTGGAAAGTGTGCATGCTGCTGGCTTACAGGCGTGAATAGCCTAGAAGCATGTTCAGGAGGCCGAGGCCAGACGAACGTAGCCCACAGTCAGTGAGCATGTCGAGGAGATGAGTGTTTGGCAAAGGTGCTTATGGGCTGCTGGAGCCTAAGTATGCGCTTGTGTCATGAGCCGTGGCTAGTACCTCATTGGTTCTGTTTGTGAAGAGGTGGAAGAAAAATCTGTCATTTTTTTTACACTCTTGTCTCCCCAGTGTTGCAGGAGGTGGTTTTTAGGGAGGACTCGGAGAAAAACGGCTTGGGCGTGGCTCCGCGAAGTTGTTTTGGGGTTCAGGGTGGCTGCTTCCTCTCCTCTCTCTCTGAAGGTAGCGCTCCCCCTCCTCCTCCTCTTCCTACTCCTCTATTCTCCCTATCCCTCCTTCCTCAGCCTCTCATCCCACTTATCTATAGGCTCAAACAAGGGTCAAAAAGATTTTGAGCTTGTGAGATAATGTTAAGAAATACTTTCAAAGCCTGTGGTTCTGTCTGTGTAAACTTGCACAAGAAATTCAAGTTTGTGAATGTGTAGAAAAGATTTGTAGTTGTAGAAAAGAAAGGAGTTTAGATTCAAAGCAGAAAACTGTGCCAAACTCCACACACTTTCACAGTGTGACATTGAAGTCAGACACAATGTACAAAATTTAGCCCTGATTTTACATCCGAAAATCCTGAGTGCAGATTTTCTCACACAATTTTCTGCTTTGAACCTGAGGCTGCACGGAACCTGAAGCCTCCGTGCAGCCTCAGCCTTGATATAATTTGCCCCCAATTTTATTCTACAACTTCAGAGCTTTTCTAAACACAAAGGTGTAATTTCCACTGGGGATCAGGGATGCCACCTTCACTTGTATACTTTCAGGTTGATTTTACTGTCCAGCTGCCAAAAATCTGGATGTGGGAAGATCTGAGCTGATAAAAATATTGATACATTCAACTAGTGCTTTGCTGACTTTTTTTCCACTGTGCACAGGTTGCCCTATTTTATAGCTGAAGGTTGTCAGTGCTATATGAACCTGAAGGAGATACCTGCAGACACTACTTCATTTTTTGGATAATATTTTTATCTACAGTTAATATACTCCTGAACAGAAAAATCAAGACAGTACGCAAATATATTATCTAACAGAAAGTACTTGGTATCTATAAAGGAAACTAATAAGGATTTTAATAGGGTTAGTGCTTTTTTCCTTATAATACCATTATGGAAAGCACAATTTTTGTTCATTTACTACTTTATTTATCTACACCCTTGTCTACACATTCACAAACTCTCAGTCTCTAATGCAAAACCTGTTCGCAGGTTATTAAAGAATGATATACAGTCACGGCCTTTATACTAATTTCTGAACATGACTTCACAAGCTTTAAAATTTTGCAGACGCTTTATTTGAGCCCATGCCTCTCCTTTCTTGGCTATCTGAACCGTTTTTCAGTGTTGCTGTTAGTCCACGGTGTGTTCAGTATTTCTTTGGTTTCTAGTGACAGTGGGGTTATTGGTGTGTGCGTGTGTGTGTTTTTCTCAGTGGTGTACTAAATGTGCATGTACTATGTGTACAGATGGGCAGTTATAAAGTGTGGCGCAGCATCTGTGGTAGTTAACCAGTGTGTTAAACCCACGGGGAGAAATTTTCAACTTTCATTTTTAAATAATTAACTTTATCTCTTACATGTGAAGTGATAGAAACAGGAAACAGGTGCATCCAGTGTTGTGAGTGTGTATCGTACTTGTCCTGTTTTTCATGTTTACCTGCAGTAGATTGTCAGAGATGTAAATATATTTCTTCTTATTATGGTTTGTGTGTAATAGGTACATGTTTATGACACTTATTTTTTTCCTTTGGTGTGGTGATAGTGGAGCCATGTGTTGTTGTTTTTTTTTTTGTTGTTTGCTTTGTTTTAACTGTGGTCTTTCAAACTTTTACTTTTCTGCTACTTTTGAAATGATTCGGGAAGAAGATTAATTAATTAAATTAATTAAAAAGCCGAGCAAACGAGAGGGAGATTCATTTCCTCACACACTGAAAGCGAAGCGAGTTGAAGCCGCGCTGTTTGACTCTCTAACCTCTCTGCTTTTCTTTTCCTGTCTGTTCTTCTGTCCATCCCTCTCACCCCTGTTATACGTTACTCTCGCCTTCCTCCATGCCCTCTCTATCTCTTCCCCCTATCTACATTCTCCCCTGTCTCTCTTTGCCTGATTGCTCTCCCTCTTCACACACCTCCATCCATCCGTACTCCCCTCCACTACCACCCCCTGCTCATCCTCCTCCTTCTTCTTCTTTTTCTTCTTCTTCTCCTTCTCTCCGTGTCTCTGTTGGAGCAGCTCAGAGTCCCACTGCAGCTGATCCCCTCCAGCAGGCTTACACAGGAGTCCAGCAGTATGCAGGTCTGTCTGTCACTCTCACAGCAGCACTGATCTGTGTGCTTGTTTATGTGAGGAAGTGTGTGTGTGTGTGTGTGTGTGTGAGAGAGAGAGAGAGAGAGAGAGAGAGAGTGAGTGTGGGCCTGACAGAGAGAAATGAAAGGGGGAAGATAAAGATTTGCCTTTGTTTGAATTTGAATTTTGATCATGTAACATTAAGTGTTTCAGTCTCACTACATCCATTTATTCTCTCCGCTGTGTTCAGCGTGTGTGTGTGTGTGTGTGTGTGTGCGTAACATGTAGACTCTATTGTCTGTTATCTGATCGATTGCCTGCTGTGCCCCTGCATATATCACATTGTTTGTATGTATCTGAGTGTGTGTGTGTGTGTGTGTGTGTGTGTGTGTGTGTGTGTGTGTGTGTGTGTGTGTGTGTGTGTGTGTGTGTGTATGTGTGTGTGTGTTTGTGTGCAGTCATGACTGTTATCTGATCCGCGCTGTGTGTGTGTGTGTATGTGTCTCAGCAGCCTACCCCGCTGCATACGGCCAGATCAGCCAAGCCTTCCCCCACCCTCCACCCATCATTCCACAGCAGCAACGAGAAGGTAACACACACACACACACACACACACAACACACCATTCACTCCTAAATATTCATATATGCTACAAACATTTACTTCTCCTCAATTCATCTTTCATGTAGTCATAGAATAAACAGGTCCGCTTAAAAATATCCAGGCAATTCACAGTCCTCACTTTATTTCTAGGCATGATTTCACCTTTTGCAAGGAAGATCTATCAAAAAGCAAAATATTCAGTATGGTAACACAAAAAATATTAGTCTATATATATCAGTCTAGAATTATTAGACAGCACTAAAAACCCTGGACTCTCATTTTTCATCTTTTTTTAAAAACAGTCCAATAAAGGCAAAAAAAAGGAGAAAATTTAGATGTTATACTTGTTATGGTATAGTGGATATCCCAGCTTGCTATAGGGTAACTAACTTCACTAACACTGCCGAGTGTTTCAAACAGAGCTGTAAACCTGCTTATGAACTCACTGACCTCCAGGCTTGGGACACCCATGCTTGGGACCTTACTGCCCTCTTGTGGAAAACAAACAAAATAATGCAGATCATTTAACAGCTGTGGCATCCCAGGGGTTACTATTTAAGCATTTAGTCATTTGATTAGTGATACCTGAAAGCTGTGAATACTAAACCTGAGTTTTCCATTAAACCTGAAACTGTCAAACAAAGTTACTGTCCACTAATGACTGCTGACATAAAGTGCTCCTAACTTTTCTGTTTTCTGTTTGCAACTTTGACTCTAAGCAGGAACTGGGGTTAACGTAGTATAGTATAGTATAGTATAGTATAGTATAGTATAGTATAGTATAGTTAAATATTACTATTATGGAAAATCACGAAGTTAACAGAATTTAGTGTAGAAAGCATTTTAAAAAAGTAAAATGTTTAAATCTTAATCTTCTTTAATAATAATTAAAAAATGAACTCTCAAAAACATGAGCTAATGTGTGGCCTCGCTCTCAAATTTCAGATAATTTTGTGAGTCCAACAGGGTTGTCGTGTGCTCGTGCATGGGTTGTAAGTGCGCGTTTCTTTTGCTGAGTAAAAGAGGAGAGGAAATGATCTCATGTAGCAAATTTTGTGAAAAAGGCCCTGGCTTCATGAGGAAATAGTAAAAGTCATCTATCACGCTTCCCCAAAGTCCAGTTTGACTTTTTTAAATGTCTCAAGCATTTCTCCTTCTCCTCCTGCCACTGCCAAACTTTTACACTTCCCTTTCTCCTTGTCTCTTTTTCTCTGACCTTTGCCCTTTATCTCTTTTTTTCTCTCCCCGTCTCTCTCTCTCTCTCTCTCTCTCTGTTTCTGTGTGCAGGACCAGAGGGTTGCAACCTGTTCATCTACCACCTCCCTCAGGAGTTTGGGGATGGAGAGCTGATGCAGATGTTCCTGCCTTTCGGTAATGTCATCTCCTCCAAAGTGTTTGTGGATCGGGCGACAAACCAAAGTAAATGCTTTGGTGGGTAAAAATGAACAAAACCAAAAGATTATTGGTTATTTATTCTGATTATTCTTTTTTACTAATCACCTTCTTTACTGCAGTCAACATCCCCCCTCCTAACCTCTCAACACCCCTCCCTTAAAAAATGCAAACAAAAACAGTGGAGAATTTCTCTACAGTTGTGCAAAAGCTGGTTGTTACTAAAAAGAAGGAATGCAGAATGAGTGTGTCTGGATTTCTCTATTAATCATTAAAGCTGTTTTCTTTTGAAGCTCTGAATAATTTCTTATTTTGATAAATATTTCAGTGATATACAGTGCATTCAGAAAGTATTCACTTTTTTCACACTTTGTTATGTTGAAGCCATATGCTAAAATCATTTAAATAAATTTTTTCCCTATCAATCTACACTCAATACCACAAAGTGAAAACTTTTGAAAAATGTTTTAAAATTGAAAAACTGAAATATCACATTGACATTAAGTATTCAGACCCTTTACTCAGTACTTAGCTGAAGCACCTTTGGCAGCGATTACAGCCCCCAGTCTTCTTGGGTATGACGCGACAAGCTTTGCACACCTGGATTTGGGGATTTTCCATTCTTCTATGCAGATTGTCTCAAGCTCTGTCGGGTTGGATGGGGACTGTCAGTGGACAGCCACTTTCAGGTCTCGCCAGAGATGTTCCTTTGGGTTCAAGTCAGGGCTTTGTCTGGGCTACTCAACGATATTCACAGAGTTGTCCCTAAACTTCTCCTGCATTGTCTTGGCTGTGTGCTTAGTCCTGTTGGAAGATGAACATTTGGCTCAGTCTGAGGTCCTGAGCACTCTGGACAGGGTTTTCAATAAGGATATTTCCATCTGCTTCCGTCTGTCCACATTGCCATTAAGCTCAGATCGGTGGAGTGCGGCAGTGATAGTTGTCCTTCTGGAAGTTTCTCCCATGTCCGCACAAGATCTCAGGAGCTCAGTCAGAGTGACCATTGGGTTCTTGGTCACCTGTCTTACCGAAGCCGTTCTTCACCGATTGCTCAGATTGGCTGGGCAGCCAGCTCTAGGAAGAGTCCTGGTTATTCCAAACTTCTTCCATTGAAGAATTATGGAGGCCACTGTGCTCTTGGGAACCTTCAATGCAGCAGGATTTTTTTGCAGCCTTCCTCAGATCTGTGCCCCAACACAATCCTGTCTCTGAGCTCTGCAGACAGTTCCTTCCATCTCATGACTTGGTTTTTGCTCTGATATGCTTTTTTTGTCAGCTGTGAGACCTTATATAGACAGGTGTGTGTTTCACCAAATCAATTGTTTTACCACAGGTGGAGTCCAATCAAGGTGTAGAAATAAGGGTCTGAATACTTATGTCAATGTAAATTCTGAAATTCTGTTTTCTGTTTGTGGGTATTGAGTGTAGATTGATGTGGGAAAACATGAATTTTAGTAGAAGACTGACACTGACATTACATTGCCATTGCGCTCTATATGACAAATAGTATGATTTCTGACTCTTCTGACCTAGTCTCCATCTTTTTCTGTAATTTACTGTAAGCTTAAGTAATAGATGCTAACAATATAGGAGATAAAGAGCTCCTGTCTCACTTTATGCCACTGACAGCACAATTTAGCCGAACATATAATTATGTGGCAAATTATAAATGGATTGTGGAGAATATTTAATGGAGAGTCTGTCAGGTGCAACCCATTTGCAAAAGCAAAATAGCTTTTGCTCATTAATACAACACAACATTAATGTTGTATTATTCATGTTGCAATTTTGAGATGCAGGTTTTTATTTGTGATTTGATGCTTTTTCCACTTCCAAGTGGAAATTAAAAACTGAAACTCAAAAACAACACAACCACGTTGATGCTTTGGTTTTAAATCCCATTACCAAGTTCATGTTGTGATTTTGGCTGCATGCTTCCCTCTGTTTTTATTGTGATCCTATTGTTGTTGTCATATTGTATAAATGCGCAAACTGTATTTGTTATATTAAGGCTTACAGCTAGAAATTGCATTTTTTGTGGAGAAACATTTGTTTCATTGTTTTTATTTTTTATGTACAGATGAAAGGATTTCATTCATATTGTAAAGCTTTATAATAACATTCAGTACATGTAAAGACTGCTTCATGCTTGTTGAATCTCATCCTCATTATCTATTCTTTTGTAACCCCAAACCGTCCTTTCCTCTTCATTGAACCTTATCCCTCTTTCTCGTTCTTTTTTTGGCCTTTCCCCCAGGGTTTGTGAGCTTCGACAACCCAGGTAGCGCCCAAGCTGCCATCCAGTCAATGAACGGCTTCCAGATCGGCATGAAAAGGCTCAAGGTGCAGCTGAAGAGGCCAAAGGACGCCAACCGCCCCTACTAGCCCCCGCCCCAGCCAGCCACCGCCATCCTGGTGGCCGGGGCAGCCGACGCACACCGGGAAAGACAGGTGAGGCGCCGAGCTCGACTCGTGTGGAAACGTGTTTGTTGTCACTTTAGTTTGATAGGTGATTCACTGAACAAACGCATGCACAACAAATGCAATATTACATTGACAAATGCTCAAACGGCAAGCTCACTTATGGCACAGCCTGATTTGGTTTCAGTAACCTTTTAGAAATGTCATAAAACATCTGCAGCTGCCTAGTAACTAGCTGATCATCTGCAATAGTGATGAAGTTTTACCCCTGCGACAGTAGTTCAAGTACACATTTGTAAATGTTAATTCCACCCATGTCACTATAGGTCATTATTGTATAAGATTTACTGTAGTGTCCTGCTGACTGGTACCAGTTATTTCAATGGAAGCAACACATACGTAAATGAGGAACCCCACAAATACTAGGACCAAGGAGCCAAATTACATAAAAACAAAATGCCTTTCAGTAATCTCTAGAGTTTGATAATTTACAGTTTATTATGTGCAGGAAATATTATGCGTGTTACGAAAATTTACACCCCCTAATGTTTATCTGATACCAAAATTGGACAGATGTCTTTGCTTTATTGTCATTTTTAATGGCTAGTTCAACCTAACAAAACTGTTCAGCATTTACTTACATGTAGCCTCCTCTATTTGTAGAACAGCTTTACAGTAAGTGACCCTGTATGTTACCCTGTAGGTAAAAGATAATTGGTAAGTGGTTCAGTGTGTTGCACAGGGAAGGAATTGCTTCCAAGGGAGAGGCATTTATTACCCCTCAGGCGGGTAATTGTGCCGTTCCTCTTTGTCTCCTCCCTTCATCTGTGTGATGGAGAGTTTAGGCTGTGTCATTCATTCACCACTGATGACTTCATTCAAGGGCAACTTATCACCCACACACAAACTAACTGAACCATACCAGGCACTGTCCTGAGGCAAATCACTGCAGGAAGAATAGTGCAATCTCCTATGAATGTGTTAAAAATATGTGGCTCCATTGCTTTTGATATATCAAAACATTTCCAACACAATGTCAGAGAAAACATTTTAGATTTTCTCCTCTTCTTGCCAGAGATTGACTACTGGCATTAACACTTTTACTGTTATTTTATCCAAATATAATAATAATGCACTATTAACGTACAGTGTTATCAGACTGATGGGTCCATATTTAGACTGTAGGCTTATGTGCTGCTTAACTTCTAATGACACAAGAGGGTTGAGTTGTATCTCGGTTAAAATCCCTTCATCATTTCAAAAACAGGATTAAATTAAATTTATATAAAAAAAGAAAACTTAATTGTTTCATCACAAACCATGGAGCTACATTAATCCGCCACAGGATGACACTGTTTCTGTTTTCAAAATTGCTTCAGTAAAATGATCTTTGTTTATCCATACCAGAACTTGCTTGCTAAGATAATTTAGAGAGGCAGGTGTCCTGTAAGTATGCCGCACCGTCCATCTGCAGGTATCAAGCGTAAAGAAGGACACATAAGGAATGATATTTTGGCAACTTTTAACCAAGTAAATCCAAAAAACATCTGTCATTAACTTGTCTTGAGTTTTCTAATGTAATGTAGAAATTCAGTCTCTCCTGTAATAAATGTTTGTTTAAGCCCAGGAGGACCAGCTGTCTCTTTGAATTGAGTTAAAAGAGTTGAGTTAAAAAAATAAATTAAAAAAACCTTATCCAAAAATAATTGTTGGATAATTACAGGTCCTTTAAACACATAACTACCAATATCAAAGTGATTTTTTTTTTTGGCCAAAGAATTGGACAGATGATGGGGCTAGATTAAAAGTATAGTGATTACAATTCATCCGAGAGGGACATGAATGTTAGTACCAAATAATTCACCCAATAGTTTTTGCAACATCTCACTTAAATATTTTTAGTGGCACTAAAGGAAAAGCCAATCAATCACTGTCAATAGGAGTCATCCTCTGGGAACCCCAAATGTCTGTAAAAACTTAGTCGTTATCCATCCAGTAGCTGCTGAGATATCTCACTAAATAAGTGAAAGCTTTGACCTGGTAGATGAATGGATCCGGGAATTACCATTAGTCATTGGGATTCGTCTTCTGGGCACTGTGAATATCTGTCTATCAAATTTCATGGACATTCATCTCAGAGTTGTTGAGATATTTGGTTCAAAACTAAAAACGTAGGGGCATTGAGTAGCTCAGTTGGTTGAGCATCCGCCCCATGTGCAGAGGCTAAGGTCCTCGCTGCAGTTGGCCCCGGTTCGAGTCCCGCATCGGACAGTCCTCTCCTGTCTCTCTCTACTGCACTGTCAATAAAGGCATAAAAAGGCCCCAAAAAAAAACTAAAAATGAAAATCTGATGATGGTGCTAAAGGAAAAGTTGTGCGGTCACAGAAGTCAGTAGGATTCATCCTCTGGTGACCATGAATGTTTGTACAAAATCTGATGGCAATCCTTTCAATAGTTGTTGAGATATTTCTGTCAAACTGACTGACAGATCGACATAGCCATGTCACTAACATGGCTAAAAGTGTTTAGCCCCCTAAAGTTGTACGCTTTACAATACTTTAATGTGCATAAAACACATTTTACTTGATTATTTGACTAAAATTATTCCTAATTCTTCTGTGCTTTCCAGGTTTTCTTGAGCTGAATCATATGTTGACTACTTGCTACGCGCCACTGAGTGCACACTCAACATCTGGACCACTGAGGCTGCTTCAGAAACAGAGGAGAGAGAGAGAGCGATGACCAAGTCAAGGACACCTCCTTTTGGATGTACTAAAACTTTGGAACTCAGAGAGAATTTGTACCAGCCTGGTTAGCCCCAGGACCTTTTTCTTCTGCACACATATACACACCTCTTTCCCCACAAAACCCTGCTTGAATGACAGCTACCTTTTCTGGACCACAAAAACTTTTACTTGAACAAAGGGAAAAAAAGTAAAAGAAACTGTATCAAATCTACTTACAATGACCAACCCCACTGAACTCTTAAAGGGAATATGGATGTCAAAAGTCCAACAAGAACAAAACAAACTTTTTAAAAACTGAATAGAGGATTGCCGTAGGAGATCTTTCTGTAAGATGGTTTGAGTTTGGGGCAATTGACTTTTGAAGACCAATTTATAAGGCTTGAAACAAGAAGGGACAAATTCCCAGAGACAGAACTTATGTAGGGAATGTGATATTTTCAGGACACAAATTGGCTTCGATTTGGGATGGCCATCTTTAGCTCGGAGTGCCTGTCCGTTTCCAGGGGATACCGTTGCCAAGGAGAGCCATAGCAACGGTCTCCAGGGAGTCTTACCTGTCATTCCTTAGTTGTTTTAGGGACCAAAAGACCAAACATTTTTATTGCTGAGGACTTGTAGCTCTAACATACTCGGACCACTGCATCTCTTTCAGTCAGTGTTAACTGGTTGAGGAGTTGCACTTAAAAGAAGTGTACATTTCGAATATATACAACACATGTATATATACATATATATTGCTGATATGCTTTTTGAATACAGGCAAAACTATTTCAGATGACCAAATGGGGTCTCTCACTTCGCTAGTTTACAATTACTCAAAATGTTTATTTTTTTCTCTTCTCATTTTGTCTTGGGAGGGATGGCGAGTGCATGGGAGGGGCTGCTCCGTATCACAGCCTTATCTTTTTTAACTTGACATCCTAACCTCATAGATAGAATAACATCAGAAACGTTTGAAATATATGAACTTGTTTATATTTGCAGTACATATATATGTATAACAAGCATTCAAGCAAATGTATTCATATATACAGTATATATGGATAAATAGATATTAATCACAAACAAATATATGTATTTATATGCACATATTTTATATATGTGTGTATGTATATAGAACGGCTACTGACTATGTTGAGCTGTAATTTTTTGTAGATTTTAGCTGGAGTTTGAAACATTGCTCTGCTTGGGAAGAATCGCAAATCTGGCAGCTCCCAAAACTGCAGGCATTCCTATCTCTGATTACCTATATGCTGACACACAATATATTGCTAAAAGATACATGTGTGAGAGTACACATATGGTGTAAATATTATCTGAAAATGCAAAAAGCCACATCTAAGTAGCAGGCTTTAAGAGAATCAGGCTAAATGATTTTAGAGGAAAAGGACAATTATCTTCGACTCTATTCCAAACATATCTTTTGAGCTTACACAGACACAAACACACAAACACAACACAAACATGCTCACACACACAAACTTCTCTTTGAAACTTGAACCAAAATGATTACGTCTCACAACCCTTGCTCTCTTTTGCATTCAGTAAAGTGCATGTAGCGTATGGGCTGTCACCATGTCAAGGTGTGCCTTGTCACCTGCAGAATCTGCCATCAAGCACTGTGCTCTCAGAAAACAAAGAAAAAAAAAAAAAACTTAACACACTCTACTGCAAGCAGCCAATGCGCTATTATGATGTCAAAACTACAGCCAGATCCATATCATTTTTCAGCCGTGTAGAGAGCTTCAGTGCATGTCCAATATAACAAACAGTACAACCACTGTTGGTCCTTCATTGTCTTTGGAGAACAAAAAAATGCATTTAGGACTAATGTAGACTCATGCAATTACACGTCAGATAAAAGCGGGCATTAGGTAACCTGTTAGCACAGGTACTAACTATCAAAGCTGTGTGCAGGGCACCTGAGACTACGTTCCACTGGCTGGAGTCAAAACTAGGGTAAAGTTCAGGATTGCGACTGAAATGGCTTGATAAGAGAAGTGATTGAGATTACTGGACCTGACATTAGGTTTTAATGGTTATGAAGGTGATGTAATATTGATGAATATGTTATAATTAGAGAGCTGGCTTCCCACTGAACAGAATAAGGGAGAAGGTTTTATGTACTTTCCCATCCAGCAGTTAATGTGTGGATCTCTGCTGGTAATACTTGACATGAAGCATATCCTTTAGAAGATGTTATATTGCCTTATGTTATATGTGGTGATACAGTTAAATATAAACATAAAAGCATAATGAAACTGTAAAATGAAGCAATAAGTGTGAAAAGCCATTTATCCATTACAACTGCTGTATCACAGAGGCTGGTTTCATATTGCTTTAGCGTACAGTTTCTCATAATGGTCTACAAAAATGGTATGAACACCTACTACATACCTGCAAAAGGTCAACAGACCTGGATTTATTGGACCCTGCGTTCAACACACATTCAGGTGGTGCAGATCAGTCAATGAATATTTATGTTTATGAATATTTATAAGGCTATATGACACTTTGGAAGACAATGCTTCCTGTTGGGTGCTGTTACTAGTTTTCCTGTAAACTGCTCATTATGCCATTTCCCTAATGTCTGTGTCTAACCTTTTTAGCAGATTGCATAATTTAACATTTACCTACCAAATCCAGAGAGGCTAAAAGACGCCACAATCACATCCCAGGATGCCTCTATTTGTGTGTGCCACATAACAATGCCCTGAGCATGGCATATAGTGCAACCAGATGACCATCATGATCATTTTTTTGCTCTGACAGTATCCGTGGTGGGTTAGTACAAAACGTCTTGCACATGTACCTGAGCTAACAATAACAACTGAAGCTAAATGTCATATGTCTGGTATCCCAGATCGCCACACTGTGTGCCCTCTTTGACTGCCCCCCACTGCTCTGAGAAAATTGAAAAAGGTGTCGACACGGTCTGTGCTTTTCTAATGGTTTGTTTGAGCAATCACTCATGTCTTTCACCGAACCGAGCCCATGTTTCCATGTCCAGTGAAATAGGAAAGGGGAAGCAGAACGACCACGGGAAACAGAATGTCAAGCACCTCATCCTCATTTGCTCCAACTTTAAGCTGCAAGTTTACATGAGAAAAGTAAAACAAAGTATAGTGGTTCAAAAACAACAAGAAACAGAGCAGAAGTTTGAATATAAATATATATATATAAATATATACATAAACCGATGAATATACTGTAAATTGTTTCTTTTTTTGCTCTGTTTTCCTCTGTACATAGGTTTGCATATTTTATAGGACTTTTACTTCTATCTACAAGGACTGGATAAAGTACTTTAAATACTTAAAAAAAAAATATATGAATGAAAACATGATAATGCTCATTAAAACCAGGTACAAAAAAAAAAAAATAACATAAAAAAAAAATATATGAATGAAAACATGATAATGCTCATTAAAACCAGGTACAAAAAAAAAAAAAAAAAAAATAGTCGCTAGGATACGGTACAAACTGTAGGACCTGACCAAGGCATTTATCCAGAATACAGTCAGGGAGAGCATTGACCTCAGTTAGAGCTTAGACACACATTGACCTATTTTATAAAAAAAAAAAAAATACTTTGATGGGTTCTATTCATTTATCTATTTGTTTAGATATTTATTTATAAGTCATGTCTGAGATGATATGCATGCTTTCATGGCATTATTTTTCTATGAGTTGGTACGTGACCAAATAGTTTTTATATAACATGCATGGGCCACTGTTGTGGTCCACAGATGATCATTGTTCCTGTCTGCAGGACCATGCCTTCAGCACTTCTTTGATGACGGAGAAAAATGCTCCTATTGACCAAGTGATGTCAAAGACAGATTTTAATCATTTATTTATGTTTATTTAATTATTTATTTATTTATTTATTTATTTGTGTTTATGTATTTATTTATTTATTTGTGCTGTTTGACTCAAGATCTGAGCTCTATTATTTCATCTGTTGCTTCTAAGTGTTACTTGGTATCACTATACCACATATTACCACTTTAAGTATTTGGCAAAATTCTGATTTCAACAACTTTAAAGACTGATTTTACATTTTTCTGTTGCTGATAACTATTCAAAACAATGCAGTACAATACTAAAGCCTTATGTATATTTGTAATTATTAATTCATTATGTTCTGTTCTATAAAAAAAAAAAAAAAAAAAAAAAAAAGGTTAGGCTTGGTTAAAAGATTGTTAAAAAGATGCTGATTGGAAGGTTCCCCTTTTGATTTTGAGTTCCATTTGCCTCCATATTGTAAGTACTTAACAAAGTGGAAATGATTCCTAGTTAAACACTCCCTCTTAAACCAACTGCTCAATCAGATATGTATTCAACAAAACATATGCCTTGAGGTCACTATAAGTTGCTGCTAATTTGTAATGAGCTAATGTCTGATTTATTGTTGATCCCTGATTAACTGCTTGATTACGAGGCCTGATTTTAAAAACTTTATAGCTCTCCTTCTATTTTCCCATCCTGCTTTGTATTGTTTGACAGAGCTCTGATCTTGTTCAACTGATGTGTTCTACCAAGAGCAAAATTCAATGAAAACTGCACTATCTCATCAAAGAAAATATTGAGTTACTATCATTTCTTCAGCGCTGTTGTCAGTGGTTTTATTTCTCAAGCTCAGTAGAGTTGCTAGAATCACATTTTACTTCATATGGTTTTCAAAGTATTCTGGAAATCTGTTTCCCAATTTCAGCACATATGGAGGGTGGGGAAATGAATGTTGCTTATTAAGCTTTGCCAGGTTCCTGATGAGCTAAGCTTCTGATTGGGCAGTGCGCTTTAGGCTCCCGCCCCCGTCTCTCCAGACTGCACCATTCTCTGGTCCCCTGGAGTCTTTTTTTGTAATTTTAAATGAATGATGCGTCTCAGCTTAGCCCAATAATAAAGCACAGTCTAGAATAAAGTGCCCTGTGTCGTGTCATAATTACTGGTAGTAACTTATCAATACAAGATCACTCACGTTTTATTGTATTTTATTCTGAGACTACCAAAATTATCCCCAATTTGAAGGTGATATGTCATCAACAGTTTATCTCATAAACAGATAATGGATATAAACGGATTTCCTTGAAATGCAGTCGCAGGATAGGCCATGAAACAACTGACTGTATGCTTGTGGTGAATCACTGAGGTTACATAATTTATGGATAATACATTTTAGTTGGATTCACAATGTCCAATTGTGTATCATAAGGTTCATTTAGCATTTGTACCATCAAGGTCTTCAGAGACAATCAACGTAGCTCAGTGGTAAAGTTTTCTTCCAGTGCCAACAGAAGATCTCAATTAAAAACTAGAGTCATAACCAATTCTGAATAAATAATTGTTTATTTGTATTAAAAATTACAGAATAACAAGATCTCGTTCTACAACATCATGATCATTCTGATTTAGAATGTCAATAGAAAATTGAAATTTTAAAAGTTAAGTCCAAACAGGAAAATATCAAGTGACTGGATTGTTTTTTTGTTCCTGCTCCTCATTTTCTTCCTTGTCAGCAAATGAAGAAAATATCCTCCAGTATTTGGCTTTCCTCCAGATCCTGCTGGGTACTTTGGAGATAAGGCCTTGAAGGGGCAAGCAGGGTTCTGCCCACTGGTTTGGGGGTAGCAAGGGCCGGCCTACGTTGTGTCGTTTTGGTCCTTCGAGTGGACAGCTTGCTTTGCTCAGGAGCAGAGACAGGACTAAAGACATCCAATAACTCAACCACAGAAAAATCCAACCTGAAAAAATAAGTAAAACTTTGCAAGGTTTTTGTTGCTTGATTCAATTTAGTTTCTTTTTTCCACATGTGACCTCAGCTTGTTTCCAAGGTTGAATTGGTACATGGTACATTTATAATAAAGAACCCAGTGGAGCCCTGTAGACAGGCAATGTTGTAAATGAGCATCCTTGCACTGTTTCATTTTAACAGAGAAATGCACACAAAGACCACCAGCTACACTATTTACCCTCAAAGTGAAGCAGAGAAGGTGCAAGTCAAGGGGACAACAACAGACATCTACAAGGCTAAAGTCTACATGGAGTTTAAACGTTTGTTCTCAAATATTTGTCATTCACATTTCTTACTTGTTAACCCAGACAATATGAAAGCAAATCTCTCTTCGAAATATTAACAAAATCTTCCTTGCCAAAGTAACAACTGAACCCTAACAAGCAGCCTTAAAAAGTCAGAACCACTGGGGCGTCCCGGCAGAAAAACAGTTTCTTGCAGGGCCGAGAGAAAAAGAGGAGGAGAACCCGGTGCTTTCTCCCCTGGAATAGAAATGAGGGAATGTGCAGTGAAATAAATAAACCAAAACGGGGGAGATTAAGCTAATAGAGATTCAATCCCTCAGTCTGGCTGGCTTGATAAATTATTCAGTGTATACACAGTCGACAACGGCCATTCCAGATACAAAACATGAATTCTTTAAAGCACGCTCCACTGATGTTGCTAACATAATTCTCTGCTCGTTTAAAGCTGCATCGATTTGCATCGTGCAGCTCCGAACACAGCTCTCCCAGGTAAGGGCAGTCTTTGGCGTGTACTTGTTGATATGCATGTGGGTGGTCAGCAAGCAGACACACTGGTGCAACTTCCAATCGAGTGCATTTGTGTTCCTCCACACGTAACTATAGACCTTGATATGTCAGGTTTTCACACTGACTTGAGGCAGGCAGCATATATCAGCAGCTGAAAAGCTTTAAAAGGCTATGTTTTGCTTTAGCAACATGAACCAATGTATTCACATGTTTGAGCGTGAGGAAGAGAAAGTGAATGAGGGTGAAGTTGGCCGAGGGATGATAATTGATGACAAAAAGAGACTGAAGCTCAAGTAAGTAAATCTGTCTTCCTCATTTGGTCTCCTGTCTGTCAGAAGCAGCAAAGGAGAGAGAGAGAGACAGAGAGACAGAGAGACAGAGAGAGAGAGAGAGAGAGAGAGAGAGAGAGAGAGAGAGAGAGAGACTGCGAAAGAGAAAGAGAGGGAGACAGAGAAAGAGAGAGACAGAGAAAGAGAGAGAGAGAGCACGAGCGAGAGTGATATTGTATGTGTCTGCTTGTAAGACAGAGACTGGAAGCGAGTGCAGCTTTGTGGATAGAGAGGAAGGCAGAGAGGGAATGTGGGGGAGGGACTTTGGCTGGGTTCCTTCTCTCGAAATGTGAGAATTTGCATTTTTATTTGTTGATTTATTTAACGGACAGGGCTCTCAAACAGCCATCCATCAACAAACGACATGTTGGTAATGAATAATGCATCACTTACCGGCGGTCACAATCTATAACAAGGGGGAGTGTGGGGGGTAGGGGTACAGTTTGGGCAGGAATAGGGGGAATGGTAGCGGGTGGGGTGGGGGGGGTGGCATGGCACAGAGACTGCACAAGGGCTAGAGAGAATGCCAATAGATTTTCAGAGGGGTATACATTGCAACAAAGAATTTAATTTCTTGGCTCCAGTTTGTGTAAGGTAAAGTTGTGAACTGCTGCTCAATATTAATATCCCTCAAGAGAGTCCTGGAAAATCTCTTTTACTGCTACATGCATACAGAGAAAGTGCATGAACAACAGGAACACAAGTTTCTGTCACTGTAAAAAAAAAAATAAAAAAAATGACTGTGTTGTCAACATTTAAGTACTGTTAACTTTGTCTGTGCCCAACACTAGAACAGTAAGAAGCCTTATGGAGAATGACATAACTACAGAAAGTTGATTTTGACAGTATTTAAGAATCCTCAATCACAAACTGAACTCTTTGTATCTATGAGCCTTTATGTTTAAAAAAAAAAATCTCATCACAACTACTCTAAAACAAATAATTCTACCTTCAAATACTTTTTAAGTGCTTTAAATAAAACCTTTGGGCTTCTTCCTCCCAATGCACCATTATGATGTGTCTCTTTTTCTAGCTCTGCAAGGCCAGATAAACCACCACCTTCTTCCCACTCGTAACTTTCACTGCTTATTTGGCTCCTCTCTTTCATTAAAGATAGCCGTCTCGCCTCGGCGCCCCTTTTCATTTGCAGTCCAAACAGTAAGATAAAAAACCTATAATGGCCACTGCATATATCCCGCATGTCAATTTCCCAACCAATCAATAGCAGGCGGGCAATGGCAGGAAGGATGGAGATGAGATGGGCGGGGTGCACTGGAACTGTCTCATTACTAACTAGCACAGGATTCATGAAAGGATTAAGAAGGTCACTTAATGTTAACCCCAGCTTCGTTTCGCAATTTCCACATCAAGATTGAATTGGTTAAGATTAGATGGTCACGAGGTGCATGTGCATGTTGTTGCCAAGTGAGAGAAAAGGGTTCGGGTAACATGCCAAATCTTACACTAAAATAGACTTTTCTTGACTAAAGGAAGCTGCTTTATTTCATCTCGTTTACCAGATTATTGTTTCTACATTGTTCATTATATTTGGAGGTAGCTTGGACTGCTGATGAGATTGAAAGCAATCAAAATAACAAGTAGCTAATTGACAAGGTCTTTGGTTACTCTTTGCCAAACAGACTAAAAATTTGCTAAGAATCACGAAATACAGTATTGTATTTATCTAATTTATTATCATCTCATTTATTTATCTTTTCTATCTATTTTTATTCACTGATTTTTGGACAGCAACTACAAAAAGACATATGTCTAATCCAAATCAGTGGATTACCAAAGGATTACAGCTATCTGAGGAGATGCACATTAAAAACATGTTGCAAAAAAAAAAAAAATTACAAAGGGCATCTGAGAGGCAGACTTCCTCATTACTGGCAGTAAAAAATAACACTGTGTGTAGCTAAGAGTCCAACAATTTTAATAGGCTTTGGAGGTGTAAATGGATGGTAATAAGATCTGATACCCAAGGTCCCCTGCTGGAATTTATGGGCATCTGCCGGAGCTCACAGTTCAACTTGGACCACGTGCTGCTTTGTTTAAGAGTTACTCATCAGAAGTTGTAAACTTTGAGCTGTTTTGAAGAAGTATCCTTTAGAACAAGGAGGGTGGGCAGTGTCTTACTGTATCTCCCATCAACCACCACTTTCACAAAAGGAAATCTGACATTACACAAGAAAAAAATGGAGCCACTTTAGGAATAATGATTTTGAAAATTAAAGGTTCGCAGCAACACCATTAAAAATTGCTGCTCAGCATCTGATATTTTTGTGCATTTACAATTCCACAGCAATGTAGAAGTGCTCCCACAGAGGCAGGCAAATGCACACGCACACACCCGGTAAGACGACACAGTCATTTTAATTACCAGTCCGTGTAAAGGGTGTAAGAAAAAAAGGTAATGAATGTCCTTTCCCTTTTAGGAAAGTCTGATGCTTACAATCAGTGATTCATCCCTGTCCCCAAAACCCCTCTCCCCTCTTACATCTTTCTCACCATTTCCATTTCTATCCATCTCAACCTGCTCTAACTTTCCTCGCTTCCTATTTCTCACTTTATCCAATGCACTCACACCTCACTCAACCTCATACACACTTTTAACATCTCTCCCTCACTCTTGCTTTTTCTGTCTCTTTACTGTGGCAGAGAGAGAGGGGAGGGCAGTGTGTGCATCCAGAAGTCTGTTCAATTACACCTGCTGCAGGGTCCCTGCTAGGCCGACTAATGGAACGCAGCATGTCTCCTGACAGCCTGGCCACAGCGCTAGCTAGCCCAGTAAAAAGCTTCATTTAGCTTCTCACAGCTCGAAAAGTTAGCCAGTCTAAGGAAAGTCATCATTTAGCCTCTAACACTGGAGCAACTATAAGCCAAGGGAAAGCTTCACAATTCAAACTTAAACTTTTTATTATATTTATGTGCTGCAATATTGTTAATATTCTTTTGAGAACTAGAGGAAAGACATCAATTGCATTAAGGAGTCCATGAAAACTAATATTACTAGATTAGCTATCTGTTGATCCAGTATAATAAATAGCACTGCACCATAAACTATGAAATAAATGGTAAATAATTATTAAATGGTTCACTGATGTTAAGTGAAGATGTGTTACCTGGCCTCGGGGGTCTCAGGTATCAGGGATACTGAGGTGGGCTTACTCAGGCTCACAGGGGATTTTGCAGGAGACGTGGCCATGTCCCTTCTGGACCGCTCTAAGGCCTCTGTTGAGAATTGCAAGACAGGAGTGTTATATCAGAAGGAGCAGAAAGTCTGACAGCATTGCAGGCAAGACAGTTTTAATGATTACCGTCATGATACATTTTGTTTTACATGCATATGGAAGTACTAAAATAAACACTGAAGAAAATCTCACTCTTGACAGGCTTAAGTAGGATATGGTTTGAGCTGAGATGTTCCTCTATCTGTAAACCATAAGCGAATAATTCTGAATAACTGAAAATCAAAGACTACAACTCACCATGTGTCTGCACACCATTATCTAGAGGAGCACCTACAGGTTGTGAGCATTGGTCAGGCAAGTTCTGTTCCGTAGGATGCACCTCTGCATCTCCACGCACACTGCAGACCACAGACACAACATATTAAGCTGCCTTTCATGTGTTCATGTGCATGTGTGAATTGTGTGTATTTGTAAGGTGCGTGCAAAAGATAGAGAGAGAATTTCTGACAAGAGTAGTTGCAGTTTGAGTGTCTGTCTTCCTTTCTATTGGTCTATGTGGTTTACCTGGAGGGTAAATCTTGGTGGGAGGGACCATCCAGCTGTGGATCTCCATTCCTAATGTTTGAGCTGCCAACCTCAGCCTGAGTAGCTTGTTGAAACCTAACAAGAATATAGGAGAAGAAAAAGAGAAACTGTAGGTTCCACAAGTCTGCAATGACACTGAGGAAGTCCAAGGAAAAAGAAAAAAGGGACTGAACATTGATAGGTAGTTATTTCTGTCCAAGCCGTAACTATCCTATCTAACGACTAACTACTTGAACTTACTATCAACTTATTCCCCCGAATGTTAGTTAGTAGTGTTACCACATACGGTTAATTTCTTTGGCTTCTGTATTTTACCTGCTGTGATCGAGACGCGACTGACAGAGCTGTTGTTTCTGTCTGTTGAGCCTCTCCTCCTGCTCATCAAGCCGTGCCTGCAGCCTCTCTCTCTCCATCTCCAACTGCATCTTCTGCAGCAGCAGCTGATGTCTCTTCTCCTCCCAGTCTTCATGACCCAGTAGAGGCCTAGTCAGGGCTTCCTTGGCCTCTGAGCCCATAGCAGCCCCACACTGGAATCTATGTGTAATTACACATTCTTTAGTTTAATATCCTAACACTCTTCTTGTTTGTGTCATGATAAAGTTCACAATTTTACTAAAACTACAGAAAAATAATGTAATCATCTGGGATGATCATGACTGCATAGAGTATTACTGTACCTCTCACACTCGTGTTGGTTCAAGGTGTCATGGTGGCCATTCTCTAGATGAGAGCTATTATCCCTTCTCCGTTGCTGTGTTCCATAGCCACTGTCTTGACCACTGCCTTGACAGTGCTCATATCTGTGGCAGGGCTCTGGGTGTGGCTCCCTGCACTCCCTTTTGTAAATCCTATGCTGATTGATTGGCCCATCGGATGGACTGAACTCACTAACACAGGAAAGAGAAGTAGGGTTGCCCAAAGTTTGTACTGCTCCTCTTCCTCCATCCCCACTTCTGCGAACTTGAGGTTGATTTGCTTGGGTAGCAGCATAGCTGAGGTATGAACCATCATAGAGGGATCCATTACCTCTGCTAGTAGATGTTCTGCTGCGGGCTTCCTCACTACTGAGCACCTGGACAGAGAACAAAGAGGACAACAAATGCATTTTGGCCAATTTAGGAAGCCTCTGAAAAATTGATGGGAGTATTTCAGCCAAAAACATTAGACTGCTCCATAAAACCCTAATGTAGCACTGGGCTACACAGCAAAATTTACCAATACTGAATTGCTCACTTATCAACCTAATTTGCGCATGTTGCTATGTGCAGTAAAAGCTTTCCCCCGTGTGCCTGCAAGAGCTGCTCACATTATCACTTGCCCTTAATGTGGTTACTGTGACTTGAAGCATCTTTTTAGGTTTCAAGTCTATTTTCTTCCATTTTATGCTCGTAACCACAGTGATGCGTGTTGGGCTCTGAGCGCTGCCAACATGCAGATGACGTACGCAGCAGAACTCATCCTGTGTAGACACTGACGCAGGACTCAAACTGCTGCTGCTCTGCTAATGTGATGCTTTCACTACACAGCTTGTATAGACATGGTGTTAGGGCTGGGCTTTATAGCAGCACAAATGCAAATCATCCATTAAAACTGTAAACTGGACATTGGCCACAGGCTTAAGGGGACAATTTTCAACTGAGCATAACTGGCAGGTAAGCCAAGGTCAGGAACATTATGAGATAAACATAGGGAGGAAAGCCCATCTTATAGTTGACTGGGGAAGAGACTGTGACTAATTTGCTGAGGGTCAGAGAGCAGGGAAACACACATTACTCAGAGCCACCGCGGGACAATGAGGTTGGCCAAGTCATCTATTCTTACAGAGGCTGAAGCCAGAGAGGCGTCTTCACTTTGAAAGTGTCACCTTGAGAGAGTTTTCACTACGTTGCAGTCATACAGAACCAGTGACTGAAGTGGACTTCTTTAGTGATGTGTTATACAATGTTGTGGCACTTGGCCATGGAACAACGTGCTGTTGCATGTCTTTCCAGTGAATGTTTTGGCGCCCAAGTGACTGATGGATGGCAAACGGGGGGGTTCCATGAATGTGGGACCCATTGGCGCACAACCATCATTTTTACTCTACATCTTCCAGTGCATATGCACCTGCTACAACCTACCACACACCCAGTCTTACCCATACAGTACCTTGCTGTGGGCTGGCGCCTGACTGAGCTGGGCAATGGACTCATTTAGTTTCGCCTGTTGCTGGGAAAGGTATTGTTGGTAGAGCCCAAGCAGCTCCTGGCACTCTCTGTACTGCTGCTGCATGCCTGGAGGACCAAGGGTTAAGTAACTAACAAAGTTAAACAATAACAAAACTAAACACAACAGAACTGAACCTTTAGCTTATAACATTAAAGCCCATTGATTCAGCTGAGAAAAAGTACATTGTGGGTGAAAATGTGTGGCTGAAAGAGATGCAGGCTTAAATATTTTCATAAAAGGAAATAGCTTTACAAAGTAAAAATCAAAACTATCCGAACTACATGCCTTCTAAAAGTGAATCCACTGTGGCTCTACTGAGAATGTAACTTTGTGCACAATAGCCACTTTGTTAAGGATAAATTTCTCTTATGCATTTATAGGGAAAAAAGATCCTGGGTTTAGATTGACAATCTGAATTAAACCCTTGTTTCTGCAATCAATTACACATTGGACCAGAAAAGTAGGGTGAATAGCAAAGTTGAAAACAGAAGGAGAGGAGGCCAGCAAAATCAAAGTTGTTGTTGTGGCACAGAGCGTTCGCCATCTGGGTCGGGCCAAGCTGTGTTGAGCTGAGCTGGGCAGTGCCGTGCCAGGCTATCTGCCAGACAGAGAGCTGGCAGACACAAGAAAACTAATCTGGAGCGGAACTACTGCTGCGCCTCAGGAGCCCACTAATGACAGTGGCAGCACCACTCCACACCAGCACATACAAAGATAATGAGCATGAGAATGGAGAGACTACACACAGACACACTCACACATTCAATAATCAACCTCAGTCTGACTTTCTAGAGCACACAAACAAAACAAGACATGAGAGCAAAAATTCCCCACCTGCACTCTAAAACAGCCCACACACAAACACAACAATAAAGCAAGTAGTACACACACTTCCACCAAAGCCGACCATAAAGTGTGTTCCTCCAGGTCATATCTTTTTATGATGGTGGCCCTGCTCCCACAGCTGATGAGTTTCTCAGCATCCTTTTGAAAAAAAGCCCCTATTTTAAGAGAAAATCAAAGTTCAAAGTAGAGTCCTATTGAAGGAATAGTTGGCGGAACACTCCATAAGAAAACACTTTGGTCGTTAGAAGACTTCAATCAGGCTGCGGAAATGAAACAGAGGGAAAGAGAAGAGAGCAGAGATGACTTTGAATTGAGGACCAGACACCAGACAAATGCAATGCAGCAGCTTCCATAAACATTGGGAAATGTGAGGAAACACTTTGATTGAACTCTCCATCTAACTAAGGCTCCTCTACCGCTCCACTGATAATGTCCATGGAGCTAGTTCTATATGGAAAACCTAAGGACATCACAAGGACATCACATCATGTAAACCAGTGCTGGGAGGTCTATTTATGCAGCATGAATAAGGGTCTTGAAGGAAAGATACTGAATATGCTTATACAGCTACACCTCACCTCAATCTAAGATAGAGAGTTGTGTGTTGAGTCAAAAAATGCCTGCTGCTCATATTTCACCAGATTTGCAAAAAAAAAAAAAAACATTTACACACGATTTTTCATGCCTGAAACAAATGTTTCCCACTAGACACAATTATGTAGTACAGTATGCTAGATACAAAGCCCCAATACAAATCATGTATTGTTAGGACCACGCACCAACCGAAATAAAGTCTATCTGTGCTATAGTACCAACAGGACTGCAGCATCAGAGCATCTTAATGCCATAAATGAAGGTAATGTGTGTTAATGTGTTGACAGGCTGAAGCAGTCCCTCGACAGCAAACGCTAGGTAATCTGAACCGAGTGGAGCGACACTGATAAGATTCCACCTCTCTGCCCGTCGCTACACTAAACATGCTTCCTCCACAGCCTTGGATGTCAGCCAATGGGGGCCAAGCACTCGGCAAGCCCCTAGTTTACATCAGCGCTGCAAAGTGCCAACAATGACTTACTCCTCCCCCCTGCTCCAAAAATACTCAGAATCAAGGGCTTGGGTTGAAGAGGCTTCAGACGGGGCCTGTCAAAATGATTCAGTTCCCTGTCAGGCCGAGGCTCAAATGAAATAATGAAATCCACTTCAAGGTGGAACAAATTTGCACAAGAGGGGGGAATATTTTAAAGCCCGCTTTAACACACTGTGCCAAACAGATTGAGCCTGAGCAGGAATGTGAGGGAAACGGGGGAGGAGACTGATGTGTATGAATGTGTGTGTAAGGAAGCAATGACGGGGAATTAATAGAAGAAGACAGTTTACATAACTGCTTCAATACTACTGAATCTGGAGAAGAGACATGAGTGTGAGTCACACAAACCAATAAATAACACAACATGCCAGCTAACAATTATTTTGAAAATGGCTTTAAAATTCCTAGAGCAAACATATAGAAGAAACATTCTCAGACATCCTCACTGTTATGATCACCACTAAAAAGTAATACAAGTGGGCACAGACTAACTTGGGTCTGGCTGAATCATTAGACATTGGATTTGTACAAAGTATATAATGTCTATAGAATATGTCAACTGCGAGTTGACGCATATAGACAAGCCGCCCAATTCACAAAGCCAAACCTCAACACAATACAGAGTATAAGGTGTACCAACAACTCAATTAAATTTTGATTATTTTAGCAAAGATTCAATGCATTATACATTTATTTATTTCACATGAAGCCCACGCTTGGTTCAGTCTGATTTGTTTCTATTCAATTCAGCAGTTGAGCTGATTCAATCAGCAATATAAACTTTACGCTAAGGCACCTGTTCAAACAATAACCTTTATCTGCAAAGTTAAACTTAAGCTTCAAATGACAGCAGCTCAGCATGTTTCTATGAAAAATTTCTTCATGGATAAAAACTTTGTTTTCTATTTAGCTCAGCAGAATGGACAGCTCAAAAGTTCATAGTTCAGCAAGTCAAAACCACAGCATCTACCATATGTCTTAGCTGTGCAGACAGTAGTCAGAAGGTAGACTTTCAATGGGAAGAAACAGATTAGAGCAGAGTTTACTTTGTTTTTTTAACACCACTAATAGAGCGCACCTTACACTGCACATGGCTCCAAATACATCACTCATTCCTAGAACAGAGGTATGATACAGCGACAAAGTTGACATCGAAGAATATTAGGGGCTTATTCTCCCAAAAAACTAGGAACTAAGAATTCTCCAGAAGCAATCTTCTGATGTTATGCTTATCACAAAAAGCACACTTGATAGAACCAGATTTCCACATTGTAAATGTCATCCATCCAAAACCTGGGAGGGTAAAAATGGATTTAGCTCTGGTAATCCTCTATCACAACATGTAGTATTTTTAATGACATATCCTAACAAGGCTGTTATTCCCTTCTCTCTATGGCCTCAGGATTCCCTCCAATTGTTTCAACTCAATAAATGGCATTAGCTGTCGCACCTGCTGTGCCTTGTTCTGGATACAGCGAGTAGAACTGTGCACCGCGTTAGTAACGCCACCTTGACATCTGCCCATGCCAACATGCTTTGAAGTACAAAAGGCATCCTTCCTTTCTGAAACACAAATTCAGTCCTGTGTGCCAGTCTGTTCCAAATGTCAGCTGAACACCCCAAATATCAAGGGTACCATTTCCCTCTCATCCTTGGTGGCTTGGGGCTAAGGTATAGCCCTACATTCTTTATACACCTGACAACTCTGAATCTTGGTTAGATAAGATAAACTGAGGCGTAATGGAATTAGACTTGACAAGACTCTCATTCAGTGTGTTTGCCTTTGGTGCCTCCTTAACCTTTCAGAGAAGTGCCGGAACCTTCTGCCTGAGAAGAGCCTTCATGACTCTTACACGCACTTTAAAAGACTGCGTTATCCCCCCTGAGGTGCTTGGATCCCAACACTTTTCCCTCTCAAATACCTTTTTAATGGAGTTTAGAAGTTTGGTGTAAATGCCAAGTCTCCGAGCCAAAGTGCCTTTAATTGAGTTGTGCTTTCCTAATTTTCCCCGCCGCCGTTGCCAATCGTGCAATTTACCAGCTGGGTCAATTACTCTTCATATTTCGCAGTGTTTTTAACCTAAATTGACTGCTGGCCATGATGTGGTCTGACCTGAGCAGAATTGTTATGAAGACAGTAGGTGGGTTGTGGGGTGCAATAAACAGCATACTATCACTATAACTCTAGCATTAACCTCACGCTAGACAATCAAGAAGAAGCTAGTGACCAACCTGATCAAATTTTGTAAGGAGGGACTGAGAAATATCCTACAGTTACAGTCAGCATTCAAGGAGGGTTACAAAAACACAGGGTGAAAGCAAACACAGTAGTCTTCTCAATAAATATCAAAATTCATCTTTGGATGATGAGATGATTTAGATGGTGTGGGCCATGTCTCCAACCATGAAATTGATTCTGTACACAACAGCGGATAAGCTACAAGCACTTGCAAAAGACAACTGCAGCAGCATCAAATAATTTAAATGCATCCACTCTATTTGTCTGTCTTTTGTATCAGATTGAGGGGTCTTAGCCAAAGTCAGTATATGGCCTTACCTAAGACAACATTGCCCCCTGCAGACAATTGGACAGAATAGCACATTCAGCACCAGAACCATAAAGCCAGCAATAAATCATTAGTGGAATTTAAAGAACATCTTACAAGAACAGGCAACCATTTATCATGCAGGGCTGGCAACAGTTATTTCAGCCAGAGTGTATAGTGGGTTATTTTACTAATTTGTCCTTTTAGGTTTAAGTTGTGGTAATCAGCAGCATTGCCTCGAGAAACCATATTCTACTGTAGTACCATCATTTCAATTTCAAAATAAGTGCATCTTATTGTACAATTTAAGCATACATTATAAAGACATCTTAGTAGCATTTTCCACACTGAACTATCATACTCTGGAACTCTCAAGAGACCTCTGGTTTCCTCATAACAGTGCATCCCATTTTGCATTAGCTGTAGTAGTATAGATACCAAATAGCAATCGACACACCATGAAGCACATCTTACAACATTAAACAAATTGCTCAAACACAACTAGTGTTTTCAGCCCCTGTGGCTCAACAGAACTGCAGTCATTCACCACTCTACTTTGAACCTGTACTATTTGCAATAGCACATTTAATGTTTCATGAAAAGACAATATGAAAAATACAACAAATCACCCCTCCCATCACTGCAAAAAAATGCAGTCTAACTCACTGCTGTGTTTTTGTTATTTTGAAAGGATACTCTCTCTCTCCTGTGCTATGATCACGTTCTGCTGCTCCAGCTGATGGATCTTGCGTTCAAAATTTTCCTGTTCATCTTTCAGACGCTGCACTGACTCTTCTTTCTCCTCGCTCACTCTGGAGAACAGGAAATAAAGAACAGACTTTAAGGATAAGTGGTCTACGTTATGTATGCCAGTGTAAAAGGATGAAAACATACTGGAGTACAAATTAAAACATCTCACTCTGATGTCACTTTAAATTGTTCTATACATGCATACTAACAGTAACACTATCTCAGAGTTCATGTACTGCTGGCTACCTGGCTAGTTCTTCGATGAGGTTTGCAATTCGGCGCTTATCTTCAGGACAGAGGTCCTTCAAACAGACCTGGCTCCTGGCTCCACTGGTCTCAGAAAACACCTGTGCAAAGGATGGTTAGCAAATATAAGACGATATTAACAGAGACTAATGATGAAATTCTGCCAGTTTCAATACATCCTTCCTTGCTCTCTGTTCAGATTATCAATATGCCTTCTTCCATATTATAAAACATTTAATCTTACATCTATGGAGGGCAGAGAAAACAGCCCATACAAAACAATAGTTTACCTGTGATGAAGGGAGAAACGTGTCAGAGGCAAAGGAAGGTGTGTGCTCTATTGCCACAGCAGCACTGTGAGGGAGTGACACTTTTTCCTTGGTATAAGCCTCAGAGTGATCATTTTGTAAGTGAGCCTGTTTCTTGCCACCTTTCTTTAGTGTAGCTTCATTCTTGCAGTCAGATCTACGCCTGGCTCCTCCCCACATTTTGGTGCCTCTTTTACTGAATGTACTGGTGTTGCCTGGTCCCAAGCTGAAAGGGGTCTGAGTTTTCACCTCTCCATCCACTCCTGACACAGTGGGAAGACAGGAGAAGATGATCCCATGTGGTAACCCTACATAAAATTATTTCAGAGCTGTGTTCAGAAATTGTTCAAACAATGTCGTTGAGACTCACCAGGAACAAACACCAAGGGCTGCTCCTCATCTGACACTGGGTGAACAAGGCAAGGAGAGGACAGACACTTGAGTTAACGTTTAGACAGCTTCAATGAAACTTCGTAAAGCATGTGCTTCATAATAATTTCACCCTATTAAAATTACGTAGCAAGAAAACAAAGCGATAGCTTTCTACTGTAGATGGCCTTAGCGTTATGTTGAGCACCACAGGGCTGACTGGTAATGAGCAAGCATTAATACTTTTACCACCGAGTTTCAACATAAAATAGATTAAAGTAACTTAAAAGAGGTAACGCCAAGTTAACGCTAACACTACACGCAGCTAACTAGCTCGCACTCCCCCAGAAATAACAACATCCCAGCATTGACACAGAAGTAGTAATTGTGATATTCTGTTTGTTTCATGTCTCCCAATAAGATAAGAACGAATATACACAGGACAAGAATGTTAATGTAGTTCAGTAAAAGTAAGTATACCACTTTTCATCCAAAATATCCCCGAACTTCCACTTTTAGTTGCTCCTGCCGCCATGTTGAATCAACCGCCACCACTCCCTGGGAGCCAAGCGCGTTGCTAAGGAATCGTAGTCCCGCCTCTCTGTTACAACTTAAGAGCCAATTGGTTATGATGCAGAAAGGCGGCTTTCTATTGGCTTAAACATATGTCAGTTTTGCGGCAAAGCTTGCCTTATCGTTTCCTGTGAATGTCTGCGTTGCTAGCTGATGTAGACGGAGCAAAGTGATTGAGGCAGAGCAGATATCTACAGAGGATGCTTGCACGGATTTGTATCAAGTTTTGATTGCAGTTCTTCAAATGGAAGACATAAAAGACAGTTTAGCGTTTAAAGGTGTTGCTGAGAGACTTACGCTTGGCATTACGCGAATACTCGGTGTGTATTAGCTTTGGTCTTTGGTCTGAAACTAGCACATAACGTCAGGGTTCGGGTTAGCTAGTAAACAGATTGGTGGCCTGATGGGAAATGATTATATTTTATGAATTTGTCCCTGTTTTGTCAGAAAACATGCCAGGTGTGGTCGATGTGCGTTTCGCAGAGAGGGAGCCTGCAGAGAAAAGAAGCCTGCTCTCATGGGAACAGGTGAAAAATGTTCTCCTCAAAGATATCACATGATGTGTGGTTTGAACATTGTTGTCACGGATATGAACGTGCTTTAATTCTTCCATAGAAAAACACTTGTATTTTGCCAGAAGACCTGCGAGATTTCTATCTGACAACGGATGGATTTACACTCACCTGGAGCGTTAAACTAGACAGTAGGTTACCTCATTAGTTTCATGTTTTTCTGTCTCACAAGAATCTTAAATTATTAAAATTAAAGGCTACTATTGGGATTAAATAGCTCCAGTTTTTTTGTTTCAGCACTATGACAATCATAACTGTGTCTGTGTGTGTGTTTGCCTTTCAGATGAGTGTGTTCCCCTAGGATGCATGATGGTTAATAGTGTGGCCAGGCTGTGCCCACTGCTTCAACCAGTATCAATTTTTTCTCTTCCAAATGCACCCTCACTGGCTGACCTGGACTGGGAGGAAAACGGCACAGAAAGCGGTAAAGCTCACCTGACAGGTCCTCATGTGGTCAACTTCAGTCAAGTCTGTTTATTTGTGCCAATGTTGTGCAGAAAGCAGGCTAATGAATGAAAATTTGATCAGAAAGTAAATATTTATTCAAGATTTATTAATGCTACCTGGCAGGGTCGGAGCATGCTCCCGCTGCACCCCATTTTGATTCTCGGAGCCGCATCTTTGAGCTGGATTCCTGTGGTGGGAGTGGCAAGGTGTGCCTGGTCTACAAAAACTGCACTCCAGGTCTCTTGTTTATTGTATCTGTGCTTATTACTCTTAATAACAACGTTAAACTAAAATCTATTAAAAACGTGAATATATTACCTAATTATGTAAAACTGATTTTGTATTGTTTAAATGTTTTTCTTTCTGTTTTCCAGGTGTGGTAGCCCAGAAGAGTGAAATCTGGTTCCTTGATCGCTCTCTGTACTGGCATTTTCTGACAGCAACCTTCACTTCGTACTACCGACTGATGATAACCCACCTGGGTCTGCCTGAGTGGCAGTATGCCTTCACCCAATATGGCCCCAGCCCCCAGGCCAAGGTAGCAAGAGGCTTTAATCACAAGACAATGACCTCCTGCAAGAACCAAATGAACAGATTTGTTGTTGTGGCACATACAAGTGATTTAAGAGAATTTGTGGCATTCACCAATTTTCTTTTAGATATGACAAATGATCTAACTGTGTTGCCTAAAGCACTCACTCTGTATTTCTGTCACAGTACAGAGTTGCTCTTATAACACGTCATTGACAAACACTTTTCTAATTGTTGAGTCCTCTAAGACGACCACTGAGTTTGTTACATTTTTGTTTGCTGGTTCCTGCCAGCAGACTTGAAGTTTGACAGTATGGAATTCTTCTTTTTACTTTTGTATGACATGTTTGTGAATGCACAAACAAAGCAGAACAGGTAGACTAATATGCCAAGTTTAGGGGCGTTTATTACATTAACATTCAGGTTTCACGAATTTGCGCCCCCCTCATGAGCAGGTGGTACTCATTAGTCCAAAAGGAACATTTAAGAGAATTTGGTGTATTGGACTTGGAAAACTCATACGAACAAGAAAAGAGAATTTTAGGACAAGAATACAAAAATGCTCTTGCATGAGACCCATTGTGCTGTGGATTAAATGGTATCTGAAAAACCTTTGTAACTGTAAATAATGTCTAGTTAAAATACATTAATTTGTGGTGTAGGTTCTGTAGTATTATTAACACACTTGGAGTCACTGCAGGTATATAAAAAACATTTTATTCATTGCGTTCCCTTTACAATATACTACAGTGTTGGCTGACCTACGACTTAAACACATTGACACAACACACTTTAAAGACACTTACGCAATGCATTAAAGTGTTTTACTTCAACATCTTAAATAGGAAAATTGCAGGCTAGTGCTTTAGATATAACTGCCTTTTCAAGTCTTTTACTCCTATGCACTGAATGCCAAAAGTTCCTGAGATTGTAAATTACATTGCAGGGACATTAAGTAAAGGAGGTAGTAAGACTTTTGCAATTTCTCTGTAGCATTCCTACATTTACACCTAGTTTCTAATGGTTATTGGATAAGGTATTATTAGTTATTTTATGTCGACATAATGATAAAAAGCAGTACAATCTCTATTTCCTGTTCCCCTACAGCAGTGGGCATCCCTGTACCAGCCACTGACCTTCAGCAGTGACCTCAGCCTGGCTGATCCTGCAGGAGATTCCTATCTCAACAAGCTGGATCCTACCAAGGCTTTCAAAGGCAAAGCCAAGGTACCTGCCCCCAAGAAGAAGCAGTCAGCACAGTGCAACTTAGGGAGCACTGCCAAGAGCCAAGGTAACGCAGGAAGACACAGTGGGGCAAAGCGATGAGAAGGTTCCCATTCAAGGAAAACATTGAAATCTTGTGTACATGATCATCAGGATTAGAAGAGCAGTCAAGCAATCCCTCCACTGGCTAGACTTCTTGCTGAATGTCTGAATAGACATGTAACCAGGGTTTACTTGGCTCAACACGTGGCTAAAGTGGCAGTGGGCTGTTGGAGTCAACGTGGCATGTAAAACAGTGTTTCTAATGTTGTTTATGTTTAGGTGGTTAAAATAAACTTGCCTGCCTTACATTTAGATAGACATGGAAACTCCTGATAACTCAACCAGTGTTGTTCACCTTTCACTGCTACATGTTAGTGATGGAGAAATTAGGCTTTCTGAAGCAGCAGAGTGTATCAGCAACAGATTCATAATTTGCAGCCTCATTTAACACAGTGTCCACTACTGACACCTCCTGGTGAAATAATTCAGAACAGCCAATTCATAAATTATGTTCATGTGCTGCTTGCATAGTATTAGTATTAGGCTACTGTAACTAAAAAGTACTCATTAACACTCGGTAGATAGGTAGATAGAGAGATACTTTATTTATCCCCTAGGGGAAATTCATGTAATTATGTAAGTAAGGGCACTATATCATTTTATAACTGTAGTTATTGTCATTAGGCTCAGTTTGCTGTTGTAAATATTTTAATTTTGAATGTATTATACAACAATAACATATATATATAATATATACAATTATAAAATAAGTTTGAAAATTGATAAATAACACAAATTTATGTAAATGTAACATTGAAAGAAACAGGAAGAAAATAATACTGTGTTGGTTTCAGTTGGGTAGCAACAGCGCTTTTCACCTGCAAACACCATCTCATGTTTCAGTGTAAATAATCCAATTCAGAGTATCCGTGGAAACTGACAGGCGTACACGACCGACGCCTGGGAGCTTCAGTATCAAATACTACATCACTTAAGTGTGTATTCAAATCTGAACCAAGAATTGTTACATGTTACAGACCTGTTGATCTTGTTGTGTGATAACATCTGCTCTGACGAGTCTGTATCAATAAATGTGTTATATGTAGCAGTATTTTGGAGATAAAATTTGTGAGCAGACTTAATAAGATTCTAGGGTTTGGTTTTTGGATCGAATCAGGAAACACATTTTGCCTTAAGGCTGCTATGTGCTGGACTGTTGGTAAGATAAGCATGTGCATTGTCTTTGGGTGTGCTTCTGCCCTTTCATGCTGTGAGGAGCCACCTCCTACTGTTTCTTTCTTATTTACAAAGGATGCATGTTTATTTAAGTGCAAAGTATTGGGGCTATTTGTTTTATTTTACATACACTGTAATTTCCAAACTCGTGTTAGTGGGCCTCTGTTGACTGCTGTAATGGATGATACCAAGGTTATATCAGCTGCTTCTTCCTCAATGATCCTGACATAAAATTCCTCTTCCGTGCATGAAATGGCTCTAGTTTTGTTTGTTTTTCATGTATAACTTGCATGGATAGGAGCCAGCCACAGGTGTTGTCAGCATCACGGTTCAAATTGTCAGATTGTATATATGTTATATGTATTACAGTCAATCTCTTTTACAGAAATTGAATGACTCATAAATTAAATTAAATAATACAGACCCATTTTGAAATTGCTTGATATTATTGAAAACTCTATTTGAGCCATTCTCAAAAATTTTCAGTCCCCGACCTGAGCGTTTCATTTTTGGTCTATTTTTTTTACCCTCATCATCATGGAATGTTTCCACTGCGTTCAGATATCCACAGACGTGCCTTTAACACTTTACCCAGCTGGGTTTCTCACACACATACATTTGCACAGATGTTTTTCGGTTTCTCCAGAGGAGCAGTCTCCTCCTCCAACTCCTCCACCAACCCCCCATCCTGTTCAGAGAGGGGTGGGTGGTGCAATTCCACCAGGGCCTTGTAGACTCCCGCACCCAATACACCTCCAATGGGGGGAGCAACGAGAGGCACCCACCACCACCCATTTCCAGCCCTGCACAGATAAAGACGGACAACTATGAATAGATAAAATTGAGTGCCAGATCGAAATTTGTATGTATTTAAGCTTTTTTTTCTTTGTAATGTTCATAAACAACCAGCAATACCGTCTTAATGTTTGTTGAAAAACTACACAGGTTATTTAATTATTAACAGAGATGTTTAGCCTTCGATTGAACCCAAGTTAAGGTGACATGTAGCAACAGCAAATCCTTGCCTAAATGCCAATACATCCTTCTTGTATTATACCTGAACACATCAGCTCCCCAGCCTGCTACAGCAGTGAAGACCCTGGGTGCGATGTCTCTCGTGGGGTTGATAGCGTAGCCGCTGTTGCTACCCAGAGAAATGCCAATGAGCAGAACCAGGAGACCCACCGCTACAGGCTCGCTGCCTGCTGCAGCCGGTTTGTTCTTCTGGTCGGACAGAGCCATCAGGCACAGCAGCAGCATAGCTGTGCCAAACACCTGGCGCACATACAGAACAAACATCACATAGAATCGCATGTCATGATAGCTGAGTGTAAAACAATACAACAAAGAAAAGGGTTAGTGTGACTGTCAGATGATGGTGATTTGTAGTTGTAATCCTTTAATCCAGTTTCATGGCTACCTGATCGATGAATCCAGCCAGCAAGGAGAGGTACGGTGCAGGATAGGTGGCAAAAATACCAGCTGTGGCCTTTACACCAGTTACAGTCAGGTTTCCTCCACAATAATCATGTATGGCCTCTGCATATGGAAACATATGACAAATATGTAGTATTAGTATGACTACAGATAATACAGAAAAAGGTTTTATAATAATACAGGTGTTCAGTGTATTTTTTTGCTAGAACATGCAGTGTTGCCCTCACCATAATAGACAGCATAAACTGTCCCTGCTGCCAGAAATGATCCCAATAGCTGTGCAAAAACATACACAGGCAACATCCTCCACGTAAGGCGACCAAATGTGCACATTGTGAATGACACTGCAGCATTCATATGAGCCCCTGATGGAGCAAGAAAGCATGAGAAAAACAATATGTGAGCTGCACAATGACTGTAATGATCTTTAAGGATTTTCTTAAGGTAGGGTTTGCAAGAGTCAATTCCCATACCTGAAACTTTCCCTCCAACATGTATCCCCATAGCGACACCCAGTCCAAAACCCAGGTTTATGCTGAGGTACTGTCCGAATGCTCCCTGTCCTGTCACTACCTGGGCCACAGACCCCAGGCCAAACACCTGCACTCAGAGAGGACCAACAATTCACAGGCAAGGTCACAGATGATGATTACAGAGAGGGAAAGACTCACAGTCTAATTTAGGGAAAACATTCCAACAAGCAGCATGCGTAAACCAGCAAACAGATGACGGACATTCAATAAACAGGTTGAGTTGTGCCAATTAAGTCAGATTCAGTCAGCCAATGAGAGTTCAACTGAAGAATGAATGTTTTGTTAACTGTGGTGCTGCATTTACATGTGCTAAAGAAGCTGGACAGTTGTTTTAACTACTGTGGACCCAGTGGGGGGAAAAAAAGCTGACACTGAGAAAATGCAGCTAGTCTTTCAGGAAACAGGAAATGTGTGGTTCCTCCTATAAAAGTCATGCATATTTATTTTAAGTCTGGTTTCCCAAGTGCAAACACAGCAAGTTTAATACAATATACCAGTGGGTTCACTCACATACTTATCTACAGCATGTGGTCACTGTATGTGTGTGTGTGTGTATTTCTTCCAGAGTTCTAAGTATAGGGTTTATTGTAACAGCTGACAGATAACATGTGACTTGTGCAACCCTCTTCATGTGGCCCACTGCCTGACCATTCCTCTGGTAATACTAGATTTCCTGGTTCACCCACTTCAACCTACCAATCCCCACCCACGACCCCTGCCATGTGACTGTGAAACGTGCCTATGTGTTTGGTTGACAGGGCATGTTATCAGGGTCAAGAGCATGACATTAATTATTAATGGCATGTGGTTGTTACACATAAGCACGATGTTCAAAAATGAGGGAAGAGCTAAAAAAAAAAGTGACGCTGTCAAAGTGAATGTTAGAAACAAGTTTAAAAACAGACATTATTACAACGTCATCTTTTATAATAAATTCTTTCTTACCATCATGACATATGTGCAAAGGGATTCAGCAAGTCCAACACGAACAAGTTCATTTTTTAGCCAAACTTTGGGTCGAGTTGCTTTAATGCCTTTCCGCTGAGAGACTCCTAGTTCTACTGACTGCACCAAGTCCTTCATTTCTTCTTCTTCTCTCCTTTGTCCCTTTTGTTTTAAACCAATAGAGTTTATTTGCTAACTGAGTACAAATTAAAGCTCAGGTTCAGACCCCCCTGAAGGATTTAAGAGGTGCCTCCCATATCACACAGTAGTCCACAAACAAGTCTGTTTCAGGCTGTTTTCCCCCCTTCTCCTCTAACCGTTCTCCTTCTCTTCTCCACTCACTTTATCTTTATGTATGTGTGTGTCTCTCTCTCTGTCACACATACCCATTGGGATTTGTCCACATTTTATAGTCTTGACCCAGCCCCCACATCCCTCCCCCCACCCACACATATGCTGACATCCTCCAATGGCTTTGAATTATCTAAGGATACTTGGCCAATAAGGAAATAGATTGAAACATCAAACAGAAATGTTCAGACATTATATGAAATTCAACTTTTTCTTTATGGATGTTTATCTGTAAAGATTCATGGCACACTGATTTTTTGTTTCAGTATTAATCAGTGAATGTATATTTGCAACGCAAGTAGCAATAAATTTCATAGTATGTGCAACATTTTTACTATGTCGACACTGTTACTATGTTGAAACATTTTATCTTTAAATGCTGGGATGATGCTGGAGTTTGGAGGAAACAATAAATATTATTGACTAAAACAAGACTTTCATTATTGACCACAGTCACACATTATCTGCATTTCACTGTGGAAATTTACAAAAGCTTGCCAACAAATCCAGACATGCTTATCCCAAATGAAACATGCCTCTTTTCATTTGCTAACATGTTAACATGATCACAAAGTAAACAACTGACTTTGCAGACCTCTGCTCTTGGAAAGTTACTTTTCAATGTCACATGATGGATAAAGATACCACATTACCTAGAAAAGAACAAGATAGTTAAAGAGAAGTCTGAAAATTTGGTTTGCTTTTGAAATGAAGTCCAATGACATCTTATAAAAAGAGTATTCTGATGAGCAACCTACAACTAAAGCAAAAGAAGTTAGTACGGATTAGAAAAGCTGGTGAACACCCAGAAACCTGATTTGGTGTTGGGAGCTACTGGTTATACCTGTGTGAATAGCATGTTAATCTGTTTTTAGTGTCCCTTGGAAATGTAGCATTTCTGTATTTTGCAGTGTGTCTCTGTTGTATTTCTTAATTGATGGTGTTTATTGCAGGTTTGTTGTCGTGCTAGTGCATAGTGACTGTAAGAATCCCCCACACAATGAATCCTAATGATATTGGTAATCCCTTGAGTTTTCCTGTAGTGCCACTATAGGAGGTCGTGGTTTGTAGTGAAATGTCTCAACAACCACTGACCCTGACTTTTCCTGTGGCACCACCATAGCAAAGTTTTAATTTGTCCAATAGCTGCAAGACTAATGACATCCCCATCACCCTAAGCTGAACTAGTTTAGCATGTTAGGAACTTGGATCGTGTTCAACATCAGCATGTTAGCATGCTGCTATTAACATTTAGCTCAAACCACCCCTGTCCCTGACATGGCTCCTGACTCTTGTTTCTAAATGTGACAATGGGGATGATCTTTCTTTCATTTGATTGTGTCTTTTCTACTTGTTTGATTAAGTTGTTTTTCTTTTTGTTGTTTTTTTTTTGTTGTTGTTGTTGTTTGTTTTAAGTTGCAGCGTGTGGAGCTTTTTTGTCCATTGAAGAACTGAGCATTTTCACATTATGAATGTGAAAATCATGAATGAATTTACTGTAAAACACTAAACCTACACAATGTTCCCCTTTCCCATTGGAAACCAAACAATGACAATTCTGCTTCCTCATGACACGAATTAATCAATGAAAAATTAGAGTGCTTTTTTTTGTTTTTATTGAAGTGAGCTACAGAAAATACTTTTTTGACCACAGACTTTTTTTTGTGTTACAGCTGTTGACACTGAGACAAACTGACAAGGATTACATCCATGACCTTCTAATCTTTCTTGTCCTTTCTCTCTTGCTTGCACAGCAAACTAGTGGCGATCATGTGCTCTTTACACTTCCTGTGCAGCATAAACATAACTGGGTACAACCACAACAGACCACACTGATACTCTGATCATGGCTTTGGTCACAGGTTCAACAGACTTCAGCCTTTCATCCCACAGAGGTCAGTGTAGTAATGCTTTTCCTCCAAACAAGATGTAGTGTGTAGTTACTCTTTAACCAATGGTTCATTCCAAAGCTCAGGAGAATAGGGTCACTGATATGATTGTACTGGCTGTAGTAAAAATGAAACATAAAGCCAAATAAACTTGTCCCTGTTGCCACTTGCAAATAGCTAAAGCAGATTTTTTTTTTTTTTTTGCTCAACTAGAAATGGTATAATTATTACAGTACAGTAATTATTAAGTAAAATACTAAATAATTTCATCATCTGAAGCTTACATGTGAATGTGAAACAAATGGGTAATAATTAAGTTAAACTTGTTAGCATATATTGTCCTATAGTGGCCAAATTGTATTACTGACCATGTGCATCCCTCTATGTCCACTATCTATCTATCTATCTATCTATCTATCTATCTATCTATCTATCTATCTATCTATCTATGTCCTTTTTTTACCTAATGCAGATTTGTGTGCAAAGGATTGACTTTGATCTGGCCTCCTTTCTTTATTGCTTTTTTAAAGATGCAAATATATCATTACTAGTTCAGTATTATTTTTTCCTAGCGTATTCTTGATTGACTTAAACCTGTTATGGCATTTTAACCCTTTTGTATTACAGTAGTAGGCAGAATAAAGTGAAAATGATGCCTTAAGCTTGCCAGATAGATAAAACGATTAGAACAGCCCTGACTGGGCAACACAGTGTTTCTCAATCACTTTGATGAAAGCTACTAAAGACGTTTTGTGTTGATGCATTTCCCATCTTACTCTGACAGCTCATGAAAACAGTTTGTACGTTTGCCAGTCAGGATTGCAGACCTGTCACTAACCTTGATACTGTCCTGCATTGCATTGGTGTTTTCAATCAAGTCACCTTGAACTTTCCTCAAATATGTATGAAAGAGCGAGGCCAGTCACACACTGTCAGTGGTTGTAAGCAAAGCCGCCCTTCAACTGAAAACAAATCGAATCACATTATCTCAAAACAGGATCAGGTGAAACTAAGAGAACCACATACTTTCAGTCTTGTATCACAGGTGCATGTCATGGCAGTGCAGTGATTACACACAAGCATATATGGAAGCTCAGGTTCCACCCAGTGCATAGTGTTGACAATGGAGCAAGAATCAAGTGTCATGCAGGTACAAGAACCAGGATTTGTGAGAGGAGGACACAGAGGTTAAGGAACAGGCGGGGGTAGAGGGAGAGGACTGAACAGGGAGCAGAGGGTGTCCACTGAAACACAGGCAACATTTGTGAACCATGTTATCAACCACGGGCAAAGCTTGGCAGAAGCTGGTCGAGGGTGCAGCCCGGTGACACAGTCTACTGTGGCATCTGTAATACGGACATTCAGAGAACAGGTATCTGTTGTTGGCTGTGGGTACATCACACGTGAGGCTTGTCTGGCCTGGGTGCAGAATGCCAAAAGATTTTTTCCCTCTGTGTCTCAGGGGGGAAAAAATCAATGCAAATCAATTTGCAGCCAGGCTATAATAAAACCACATATACAAAGATACACATAGCACCAACACTTATGGACATCAACACACAAAATGTAATGTAAGAGTTCATTCATCAAGGTCAAAGTGCAAAAGTCAAGTGAGCAGTCAGTGAAAATAAGTGATCTCCTGACAACAATAAAATATCATCTGCCATTAAACAACTGAATAGCAGCAGGAACAAAAGAAAACTTAAATCTCTTGGTCCTCTGGGTCGGAGCACCCTAAACCACCAACCTGAGGGTAACAGTTTAAACTCTGTCCGAAGAGGGCGACCTTGGCAATGTGGACATAATGATGCGGCCTAATTGAGATGAGAGACTAGAATCCCCTTCTGGGATTTTTCCATATTTTGCACTTTACATTATTTTTTTATTTACACAGGCATATGCATACGCACAAGCGTGTCCAAATTTTTTACCGGTTCAGTACATACGTATATGTATAGTGTGAATTTACTGTACTATAATTGGTGCTATTTTCTAAGTTTGATTGCATATTTTTTTTGTCTGTTTTCGATGCATGGTTACATGTTTGTTATTTTGCTTTCCGCAGTTACAGCAATTAGAAGGATCGCTTTCTCTGTTTTCTCTTTTGGTGGCCTGATTTTACTTTCTTGAAATGATTTTTCAAAGTTCATCCAGTCTCTTTAAAGTCTTCAGAATCAAATTACTGTCTTTGAAGAAAGAAAATTGCAGATGAAAACAAACCTTTAATTTTCAGAAATTATGCAAAATATACAGTAGAGCAGGAGGCAGGACAATGCTGACGAAATAAGACACTGACCTTAGAAACAAGAGAAGCGTGTTTCTCTTCACCGTGAGTTGAAGTTTAAAAAAAAAAGAAAAAAAAAAAAAGAAAAGATAATTAAATCCAGGGGTTTCGTGGAAGGAAGTTATTTCTAAAGATTTCAAGCACTTTACTGAAAACGCTGGTTGTGCAGCTGCATCAGTTTATTAGTAGCACGAGGTTTACCGTTGCTCAGGACATTAGGCACACCTACCAACACTGAAGACTTATAAGAGTTGCTCCTACAGTCCTCTCCCGGGTCTTGGTGGCAGCAGCGCGGCTCTAGCAGCGCAATGACTTGGTATGATGTGTTGTATCACCCTGGCTGGGCTGTGTCCGCGGCGCTGCTGGCGTTCGTAGTGCGCCTGCAGCGGAGAGGGTGGTGGGATCCTCGAGCCTGCACGGTGCGACTGACGGGGAAGACTGCTATAGTGACAGGCGCCAATACAGGTTGGTTCAATTTGATCTCTCTCGGTCCTATGTTGCTACGGGATGATAATACGAGGCTGCTGAACGTGGTAGTTTTGAATGGCTGTAAAGGACATTTAACGTTTCTTTAAATAACAAGACATGTATAAAATATCATTACCAGCGAAGATAACCTGACTTGTTGCCCTTTTCTAAGAGGAAGAACGAAGAAGACAATGATTTTTGTGAATCTGTTTGTAGAGAGAGACAGATGTGTAGTCTCTATATGAAGGTTTAAGAATTGTTTTGGCAGCAAGAACTTTTTCTGCAAAACTCTCTAAAGTGCTTGTTTCACTACTGGAAACCTGTGCTATTTATTTTTGATCATATTTTATTGTATACATAGCATATAGGGCTGT